GAAAACAAAGCTTCCATTGTAAAAGGGATGGATATAAACATGTAATAAATCTTTCTGACTATTTTCTAAAGATACAAACTCAACTTAATTGTGGGAAAATGGCATACATTCTTTCTAACGTTCTGAAACCTATTTTCCCCGAAAAAAGTAAGTAAATATTGGAAATATTAGAAATATGATTTGTTTTCCTACTGTGAATCATTTTTTAAGAAAATCACTTTTTTTCTCCAGACAAATGCAGAAGTAGTTTTATTTTCTAGCTTCATTTAAAAATCGTACATCATTTGAGTTATTTTGCGCAGTCCATCTCCACTCCCAATCCCACCCTTAGAACAAAAGAAAGGAAACAAAGGTGTAGCTTCAATGGAATTTTAGTGAAAGTTAACAACAGGGCTATTTTTACTTTTTACTTCTAGAAAGATATGGCTTCTACTGAAACCATGAAACTTTTCTTTCTGCACCACTCTTTATTTCTGATAAGTGACATGATATTCTCACATTATCAGAAACTATAAATTCAAACTTGATCTCTCTGAAGGAGTTTTATCTTTTGCTATTCCTCTTAGTTGCTGCCATTTGTTTCTCCACAAGAAAAGGTTGTGTGGAGCAATTTTGCGTGTCTGAGGTGATTATAGAGTGCTCACAGTCAGTTAACAAAATCGTGGACACATATTTTAATTTAGAACTCTTGCTCATAAGAATCCATCTACCCACGAATGGAAACATGCAAACATACGAGATGTTCTTAATATATAAGTGTAATGAGGCGTGGGTAAGAGATCTGAACTCCACATTTGTATTGGAACCGGTTTTTCAGTTTTTGGAAAAGACCAAAATTAATATATAACTGTGAAGAGATCCTTTATTTATGGCTATGTAGTAAGATGGGATTATAAGGCTCTACTACATCAAAGTACAAGAACTTTCCCTGAATTTTTTATCTCTCTTATTTTCTATCAAATCAAACATAACCTAAAAATACACCTATTAAAGGAGAGGAAAAACGAGAAAGAAGGTTCTGTCATTTAGATTCTTATTCAGCCTTCCAGTGTAGAATTCTTTTACATCAGCTAATTGAACTCTTTCTTTATTGGTCAAGTTCAACTCTAGTCAATTCAGCCTTAATCCTAATAAGCCATATAAACCTTTCCACGCCATTACTTTAACAATGAAAAAAAACAGTTCTTATGGCTGGGTAGGAATATTGAGATTCAGTACAGCTGAGTGAAGAGGAGTGCCAACTCATTTGCAGATGGATTGACCAAGCAAGGAGTGAATAGGGAAGCTGTTTTTTGGGCCAGGTTTTTTATTTTTTTTCTTTGTATTCCCCGTGTTTTCTGTTTTTGGGGAGCTAAGTTATTTTATCTCCCCCTTTGTATCCTTATTCCTTCTCTTCTCTTAATTTAATGAAGATGATGTTATTGATAAAAAAAAAAAAAATACTTTCCACGCCATTGTGCTATATATCAAGGGCTATATCATCTTCCCAAATTCTAAGTAACACCTCTATTGGTCCTAGCTTCTAATTGCAATTGACAAGGCTGAAAATGACTTCTTATCACCCAACACATTATGTGAAAAGGTAGTATGAACCATGTAGATGCAAATGATCTTAAAATTAAGATTTTGATCAGCTAAGGATTTTGTCCAACCAAAGTCATAGACTTTCTCATCATCAGGGGCAGAGCCAAGATTTTATATTAGGGGGGCCAAAAGCTAATGAACAAGGATTAAAGGGTCCAAAAGTTAACAAATATGGATGAGGGCCAAAATATGTGAAATGTCAATAGGGATTGTGAGGATTTTTAAGGCATAGAGGGGGCCAAGGCTCTCCTCTGTTTTATATGAGGTTGGTTACAAACTATATGAACCCTGTTTTGCCTTCCATTCTGTTTGGTGCCTTGCTGAAAATGACTTCTTACCATCCAACACATTATGTGAAAGGTGGCATGAACTATGTCAGTGGTTTCGAAATTAAGATTATGATCAGCTAAGACTTCTGCCAAACCAGATTCATGACATCATCATCTAAGCCTTGTCCTATCTATGTGGGATCTACTACTTGAATTCTGTTTTATCATTCTGGTGTGTTAAGTGAATTCAGATTAACTGAATGTTTTAGCTGTATAACAGGCTGTGGGATCAATGATAATGTCCCACACTAGTGACAAAATACATGTGATCCACACCAAGAGGTTGAATGGTTGTAGGCTCCATGCATTTTATGATTGATATTGGAGTGTTACAATTGGTTTTATAGCCCACTGAACAACTATTGCGTTCAACTAATCCTATCTCGTGTTGAATGTCATGTCCGTCCCTCTCTTTCTCACTCACTCATTTTTTACGTAAAGAAACTGAAATCCATATAATGCATTCACCACATATTTATGACTAATATCAGCTAAAAAATTCTTTATTTTTGGTCTGTTCATTTATTTATTTAGGATCCCACAGTTAAGAACCAATGAATCATGAAGTATGGTTTTTAGTTTGCAACAAAAGAAAAAGAGTAACTTAGATTTAGGGTTGAGAGGTATACATTTTGGTTTGTCGACAAAATTGTCTTAAAAGCAGAAAAAAAAGTTTGATTAAAAGATCTAATTAAAACGACTTGTCATTAATTCAAACGTGTGGCTAGGCCTTACACTCAAAAATAAATTTTTAATTCAAGTTAGAAAGTTAGTTAGTTGTTAAAATAATTTTTGAAACTTTCTCCATTTTTTTTATATGAGAAAAATATGCTACACAAGATGGGGGGAAGCATGAGGAAGATTAAAAAAATTAAAAGAAAAAACAGAATGAGGAGAAGACATCGCCTTGTGAGTGGGCCAATTCGCCACTTGGTTTGCCTCTCTAAACACGTGCCTGTAACATACACCTCTCTCCAAAAGCTCCTCCATTTTTCAAAATAAAAGGCTAGACACCCCTAACTAGAGAATCTCTGTTGTTAAAATACAAATAGAAATGTGTAAATTGTAATTGAGTAGCAAAAAAAAAAAAAAATAGAAATGGGTAATGACTAAGAGCCATTCCCATTAAACTGAAAAAAAAAGGTGTTTATATATATATATATATATGCATGTATGTATGTATGTATACATGTATTTGTGTGTATATAAATTCTCAAATTACTATATTATCAAACGTAAAGATTCAAGCATCTGAAAATTTGAGTTTTTTTTTTTCAAAAAAAAAAAAGAAAAAAAAAGAACTTTGATCCCATCTCTATGCTATAAAAGGGCCATTAACCAAATGCTGATCTTGGCCTGCTTAGATGATGAAGATGAACCAATGTCGGTTCTAGCCATCTGGGGTCTTAGGAGGGATGGACCAGATATGAACCCAACCTTCCGTATTTTTTTTTCTTTTTGCACTAAGTGGCTTCATCACCATCATCTAAGCGTTGTTCCATTTATACGGGGTTGGCTACATGAATCCTATTTTGCTATTGCATTCTATTCAGTGCTATATCCATTTTTATTATTTTATCAAATAATATTTTATTATTTTAATAAAATATCATTTCTTATTATTTTTCGAACAACTCCTTTTCCCTCTGCACCTAGTTCTTGTATACCCTTTTTACCAAAAAAGAAACTTATATATCCTTCAAATTTCTAAAAGATCAATTTTTTAGCAAGACTCGAATATTAGCTAAAAAAGCCAAAACCCCGAAAGGCCTGCCCGAGAAACACTCCCCAAACGCAGCCTTATATGATTAGGACAAATTCTAGTTTGATAGACGAGCACATGCTTAGGTTATGTTTGGTTCGATTAAAAGGAAAAATAGAAAGTTGAGGGAAAGATATTAACAAAATTTTTTAAACTTAAAGAAAATTTCCTAACTTTCTATTTGTCTCATATTTTTTTTGTTGAATATATTTGTATTTTGTATGTATTTGCACTATACATATTTGCATCTGTACTCCTTTTAAATTCAGCCTTTAGGCTGCATTTGGAAACAATGCAAATAAGTGGAAATGCAAATATGTAGAGTGTAAAATGGTTCATATAAGTTGCAAAATTGGGTTAGTTTTTCACTAGCAAATTTACCTTCTTACCAAACCGACTTTTAGCTATAATGGATGCAAACATGAATTCCAATAAAACATATGCTTTTTTTATCAAAAGCCTTAAGTGCAAATTTACTTCTTTTTTATTGATGTACTTTTACATCTTATTATCAATGTAAGTATGCACTGGTCTGTCATTTGTCAATGCATAAATGCAATGTTGTCAAACACGGGCAAAAGTGAATCAAAATGCAAATTTACCCTGAACCAGGATTTACACTCCATTTGCATTGTTTCCAAACGCAGCTTTAGCTTAGTTTGGTAGGAATACAAATACAAAAACTCTGCCCAAAAGTTGTTTTCACAGACTGAATCTCTTGCACACAAAAACTCTGCCCACATTTATCCACAACACACTACCCCTACGAATTAAAAACATCTCGCATGCATAATACTATACAAGAGGATGAGATGTTTCCCATGTGTAACTGTAATGTTACGTGGCTAGATATGGGCAAAGTTCTTGTGGGTTGGAGATCTCTGACTCTTTTCCACATCCTTACCCAAAGAACACCACGACTGTGTTTTGGAAACATCTAACCACATGACAGGAAAATATTTCCAATACGTAGCTATAATGTCTCGTTGGTAGAGATGTGCAAACAGCTTGTGGATAGCAGATACTAACCCCTATTTTTCTCATGGTTTTTAAAAACAAACTAGTGATTGAACCGATCAGAGGTCCGGTTACTGGTTCGAACGGTCAACCGGCCGGTTCAGCGGTTTGCTGACCAAAACCAATGATTTTGGAGAAAAACGAAACCAGTTCAGGTGACCGGTTCCCGATTTTTCCAGTCCGATCCGGCCCGGTTTTGAAAACCATGATTTTCCTCGTTCGTGGCCAACAGGATTGCCCCCACATACATGCGAGAGCTTGGTCCCAACTCGCAAGATAACAAATCTGCGGATCACGCATCCCGCGTATTTTAGCACCTCACCCTTCTTATGCTGCTATTGCTGATCTTCTCCCCAAATCAGAGAGAGCCAGAGCTCAGAGGTGCTCCACTCTTCTCTTCCCCTCTCGCCATCGCCAAAACCCTACAAAGCAGTCGGAATAAAAAATGCTCTGCAACATGTAACAAGCAACCACACAGGTCGTCAAGGTTTATCCGGAAGCAGTATTCATATCTATTGCTTTTGTCTTCTCTTCTTATGGATATAACTATATAAGATCAGATATTTATCTTCAGATATCAATAAATTAGGGTTCTTAAATGCCAGGAATTGAAATTTGACTTCTCGAGAACCACAACTCACGATTTTTTTTTGTTTTCACTTTTCTAAGGCCAGGACGTTGGGATCCTTGAGAATTTTTTTATTAAATTCTTAGCCTTCAACTCTGCAGAAAGGAGGAATAAGTTCTTGAATTCACGAAATTATGGTTCTTGAGAGCGGACGCTAGCTTATTGTTGGCCCTTTTTAGTTGTTCTTTGGTCTTCAATCTTGCGGAAATGGACGACACGGATGACGATGCAAGGTATCCTCCGAATCCTTACTCTGGAAATTACCACCAGAACTACGGTTCTTCGCATCGCCAGAAGCTTCCGGTGCGAAACGCCTCTTATCTGCAGGCTGGTGGTAATGAATATGGTGACGAAGATGAGGATGAAGATGAAGCAGAAGAGGAGGAGGAGGAAGAGGAGGAAGAGGAAGACGAAGAAGCAGGTGTGCAGCGTGTTGCAGAAGGGGCAAATGAAGATGAAGATGATGTCGAGGACGACGATGGAGAGAGAGACAATTATCGGAGGAGGGTTGAAGTTGAGGATGAGTCAGAGAGGCACAGAAAGAAGCGAAAGCTTAAGAATTTAGGTTACGAGTTTGCTCCTCGGGTAGCAGCACCGTCTGTTGCTGCCACTGCTGTTACTACTGCGCCCAAGCCATCCTTTGGTGGCCGGAATTCCCCAGCTGATTGGACAGAACATGAAACTTTTGTTCTACTAGATGCTTGGGGTGATCGGTTTCTTCAGCTTGGGAGGAAGAGTCTTCGATCTGACGAATGGCATGAAGTTGCAAACAAGGTTTCAGAAGAGTCAAATACCATTAGGACGGATACTCAATGCCGCAATCGTTTGGATACGTTGAAGAAGAAATACAAAAGGGAGAAGATGAAGTTAGCAGAAACTGGTGGCACAACCTGTAAATGGGTTTATTTTAAGAAAATGGACATGCTCATGACATCATCACCACGGCAACCTGGGTTGTCATGTGGATTGGATTCTGGTGAGTATGTGTTTATGAATCCCCGAGTTTACTTGAATCGTGCAAATGGGTTGGATGAGATGAGGGACAGCCCAGAAAATTCAGAATCCTCAGAGGGTGATGATGATGATTCGGATGGCCTTCCACCTAAGAGGCCAAGATTCAGAGATGAGGCTGACGGGGGTTCTTCCTTTAGGTTGCTTGCTGATTCTATTCAGAAATTTGGAGAGATTTATGAGAAGATTGAGAACAGTAAGAGGCAGCAGTTGCTAGAATTAGAGAAAATGAGGATGGAATTCCATAGAGATTTGGAATTACAGAAGAGGCAGATCCTAGAGAGAGCACAGGCAGAGATTGCAAAAATAAGGCAGGGAAGTGATGATGATGATAATGATGATGATGATGATAATGATGATGATGATGATGATGATGACGACGATGATGATGAAATTGATGTTTCTGCTGAAAATATCAGTGGGTGATGTATGTGTTTTCCAACTTTTTATTTCTTAGTTTTATGTGTTTCTTAGTTCACATGTTGTACTGCTTTCATTGTTGTATTCTTTGGATATTTTCACTCTCTCCTTTGGCTCTTATTCATGATGCATTTGAGTCTGTTAGAAAATAAAATATTTGGAAATGCTAGGTATACTAAGACAGCACCAAAACCAATGGATCTTTTGCTTTTAGTTCTTCTCTTTGGAACTATCAACCATCTGGTTCACAAATTCATTGGCCATATGGTCTGGTGGTACTTTTCAAAAAAAGATGCATTCTATTTATGTGGCTCTTATGTGGGGATTACTTTTTTATTAACAATTACCAGAAATGCATGTATTGATGATAAGATTTGATCATTATTCAAATCTTAGCCCAACTATATGGGGTTGGCTACATGGATCCTATTTCACCAATCCATTCTGTTTATTGCCATATCCACTGTTAAATTATTGGCGGTTTCCTTTTTGCAAATAAAAAAAAACACATTTCTTACTACTTCTACTCATGTTCCTTTTGGTCTACCCCTTTCCCTTCTAGCCCCCTTCAACTTGTAACAAATCATTCTTTTTACGGGGGATGTTGATGGTCTTCTATGCACATGATAAAATCATCTTAGTCTACTTTATTTCTCTCATTTTATCACCTATTGGAGCTACTCCTAGGTTCCTACAAATAACTTCATTATTGGTGCTAAATAGAAAATGATCCCTACTATACTAATTCAAGTAGCAGGGGATGAAACTGGCTGAAATACAACACAACAGACGAGCAGATTGTGGATAAAATGATGTAGCAGGTACAGTTTATAAACAAGTGTTTTGAGGGGTTAATGCATATATATTCGTGAATGAAGTCCTGTGCTTCAGTTCTTCCCACTTAGGTCTCACATGGATAGTTCTTTCCTGGTTATGCATTGATTAATTGCAAATTGCGACCAATGAATTGGACAAAACCAGTCTCACTTAAATTAAATAATTGCTTTACTATGATCCAAACTTTTTTATAAATCAAACAAATATTTACATTTTTTCTGACTTAATTCAGATCTCAACAGATGAAATGAGGAATCTGGTTCACTTTGAAAATGAAATAAAATAAATGAACATTTAACCCAAATGAAATGGTAACAATGATTTGTAGAGCCATTTGCCTTCTTCCCCAGCAAATGAACTTGATATATGGGACACTTGCTGGTCCAAATTTTTCTGGGGCACCAGATATTTTTCATCACACCTTGGTAGTTAGGGACTTGAATTACTAGGGGAGTCATTGGGTTGGGGAATGTTATGGGATGATACCGAATATGAACCTTTCTTCATCTTTTAAGCTCTGATAAAAAATAAAATATAATGTTTAACTCAATAACGTTAACAATAGAAATCAGGATTAACGAGCATAAATTCTGTAATGGCGAATTTGGAGTGAATGTCATTTTGGTATAAGAACTCTTTGTTCAAGCATCTTGTGGGTACATGGGCAAACCAATACAAATGCAGATTGTAATATCTTTGTGCTTGTTGAGTTTTACAGGAACATCATAGCCATGGAATGTCATTTTAGTGTAAGAACTTTTGGTTCAAGCATCTTGTGGATACATTGGCGGACCAATACAAATGCAGGTTGTAATGTCTTTCTACTTGGTGAGTTTACAGGAATACTATCACCATGAAATCAAGATTTTGCTGATTTTTCTTTTTAGTGGTTAGATTTATCTGCTTCTTTTGTTTATTTTTTTGGATGTTTTAGTGTTAACTTGGTTCATTCACTTGCTGTAGAACTTAATTTTGTTCCTTCAATCAATGATGATCTACTTAATATTTGTGCTTCAGGCTGGTTTTCCTTGGTATCCGGTTATCCTTGTTAAAGTGTTTTTTCTGTGCTTCTCGTAGTAGAGAGTTCCGCCATTTCTTTTTAACTCCATTCTTGTCTTTTGTTGGATAAAAGGTGACAACTGTATGTCACCGTTCACCAGGAGGCCTCAGATTTAATGGGTGGAGCTGTGCAGGCACTTTTATACTGTACCAACAATTGGCATTTGGCTTGACATTTTTGTATATGTGCTGCTGATGGTCAAAGCTGAAGTAGCAATAGATAAATTGGCACCTAGTAGTCTAAAGGTGCCATGAGAAAGTTCAGACTCAATAAGGTGTCAATGCTTTTCAACTTTTTCTTTCAATTTTTTTAAAAATATTACAATGTTTTTAAACATTATATAATTTAACATTTATTTGTGTCTTTGTTTGGTTGACTTGATTTCTAGAGGATTATGTGCTGAACACCTCAATTCTTGATTACTGATACCTGTGCAGCCACGAATCAAGGTAAAACTTGTGATTTGCTTCATGGTCGCAAATCTGAAGTCATCCTGCTTTTCTTTCTTTTCTATATCTTAACTCTCTCTCTTGGGGGGGGCGGGGGCATTTTAAGTGGATTGAAGGAGTCTTTCTACACAATTGTTGTTATCTTGATGCTTTGACAAGTGTGGTAGGGACGCAACTCTGTTCTTGGAATCAAAATAGGTAAGTAGTGGGAGCCTTCTGCGTTGAGTCTCTTCATTTGTACCAGTATTGTACTGGCTCGATATTACACATTATTTTGCCTTTCTTCAAAAAATGATATAAACTATATTCCCAGCAGAGTGACTTGATAACACCATTCAGCTTGTTATAATTTGTGCTGCTGATTATTTTGTGGGGACTAATATCCCATATTTGTGGTGGTTGTGGTTGTATGTTTTACTCCCCACCTACAAACACAAAAAGGATGATTTTTAAAAATGCAGGGAAATATATGTGAAAACAAAGATTTATGAGCTTCTGATATATTGAGTTAAGAGGGGACAAAGTTATCATCGATTGTCAATCGTTTTTTTTTTGTGTGTGTGTGTGAGATTGCCAATCGATTAAAAAGAGTATATGATGTCCGAATCTTTGCTAATTATGCAGAAGAAAATTTTTGGACTCGACATGTGAAATGGGGTACAATTTCAACTCTTTGATTGCAGAGGGAGCAGCTCCAGTGCCAGATGCTTTGGGCGGTTATATGTAATCTAATTGGCTTTGAAGCCTTGTGCTACTAGTCTATTTATGGTGTGAATGAAACTGTGAAAGCCCGTGAACCCATGTTGTATTTTTATTCACACTTCAGAGTTCACATTTGTATACTTTCATCCATCTTGGCCTTTTCTATTGCAGCCAATCTAAGCGGTGCTTTTTGGTTTCTGTTTGAGTTTGATGCCATTATTCTTAGTAGTCGCCATCGCTTCTGTTCCCCTCTCCTTTTTGGTGGGTTGTGTCGGTTCAATGAAACTAGCCAAACAGTACTTCGAATTCTCTGGCATGGGATTTCCATTGTGTAAATGGATAGTGCTGTAACTGCATTACTGTGGTTCTTGCATACTCGGTACGGCACCAACTGCATTATTGCCTGTTGATGCTATCTGACTTCTGAATGATTCACCAAAAATTGGCATTGTATGTTCTTTCATGGTTGCTAATAGTTAAAGGTTCTTAATTATTGAAGGAAAGCGACGAAAAGCAGAACTGCAGAACAAATGTGGGCGTTTCTTGTTAGGTTGTGAGATCATGGGTGTTGATCAATTGAGTGCTTTGCAGCAAGGGAAAGTGGGAAACTACCATTAGAGATTGTCACAGGCTGCGAACCTGCGATCCAGCAGGAGTACTATATGTACCAAAATATCTCTTTCCCTTGCTTCATTGATTCATGGTGCAGTATTGGATCCCTGAGAAGTTGAGAACGTATTTACAAAAAAAAAATTATTGGGGTTGTGATGATTGATTTATTGTGTGGTTTCAGATCCTCAAACATATCTCTTTACTTCATAATACTGGGGAGAGCTCGGTAGTCAGAACTAGACACTCGACCAATTGTAGCTTATTTATGTTCGGAAAAGGTGAAGAAGCTTTTGAATTTTGAATTCTCAGCACCATGAAGAAGAAGAAGAAGAAGAATTGGATAACCCTTCAAACCAACTAGAAACTTCTAGTTTTAGAGATATGTGGGGCGAATAAAAATGGCCTCACTCTTTGATTACATATTTTGAAAGAAAATCCACTTAATCCACAAAAAAAAAATGTATGTTTTCTCTGTATGAGTTTTGGTTGATGAACAAGACTCCGGAAGCAACTAATCTTGTCCTGGGCTGTGCAGCTTCAGCCGAACCTTCTCTTCCTCGGTGATTCAAGTACATCAAACATCAAAGTTTAGTGATTTACATGTATAGTAGAAAACAACATTCATAACAGTGTCCAAGACAAGCACCAAAGAGTACATGGAAGCTAACATCAGGCCCTCCCAGAGACTCATCCCTTTGCACATCCTAAACTCAAAGAGACATTCAACTAGTCTCAAGCCCACATTGCTAAACAAAGTCATCAGTAGGGCTGTTTGTCTCCTTCCTTCTATTAGACTCTTGGCTTTCATCAATGACGCAAACCCATAACACTCGTTCTCTAACACAGACAAAACCCTTGCCAAGTTCCCCACAACCGTAATGTGTGCAAACCCCACACAGAAGGGTATTCCCAGAAGCCCTAGGACACCCCAAAACCCAAGCACCATTGAACAAACCCCACATGCAAACAAGATCTTGGGTACTGTTACCAAGCTGACAACCAAAACACCAAAGAGGCTAATTGCAATGAAGAACTCCCAGAAACATGTGTGGAGAAGCTTCACCCAGGCAAGCCCACTTCTCATAAACAGCCTTCTTCCATTGAGGCTGATCCCATTGTAACTGTCTGAAACTGCTTGCACAGTGGCAGCTCTTCCAAGGAGAGAGAAAGTTACAGAAGAAGGGAAGCAAATGATGATGTGAACAATGGTCTCGGAGAGGAGTCTAACTAGGGGTTGAGCTCCATTGTGTCCAAATAACTTTCTTGTTAGTCTGATTGTGGAGGGCGGTATTGTAGGAAATTGATGAACGAGGAAGTGGGAGACGAAGAAGGAAAATGGGAGAGGCGAAAGGAGGAAGATAGAGATAGAGTGGAAATGGGTTGGATGCAGAAGTAAAACCCTGATGGACTCCCTAAAGATTTCGGCTGTACTCATCACTTGAACTGATTCAAAGACCTGTGCCGTTCTTCTTGGCATTGTGGGAAGAGCAGAGGAAAGAGTAGAGATAGAGTGTCTGTTAGTCTGAGTCCTTTGGTCTCAGCTGTGGTCACATTGGTTTGAATTTTAATTAGAGCTTTTGGTTGCTTCAATGCTAATATTTCATGATTGGATTGGTTTGTAAAGGAATTCACTTGACTTGCATTTTAGCACTTTAGCCAACTATTTAAGATTTCAATAATTAAGATAACTGAAGCCATTCACAAGGGCTGATATTAATAAAAGAGGCCTGATTTGGTGTCTCACAAACTACCGAATTAAATGGTATTGCATGCTTTGACACCATTATTTGCATAGTTATTGGTGATTAAAGCTATGATATAATAATACTTTATTTTATTGTTTATCTACAGAAATCAGTTTTCACTCAGACTGATAGATTGAGAGATTCAGGGAATCAGAGATCAAGAGACTACTTATTATGGTAGGTTGCTCTAGAAGGTGTAATTCCCTTTATCAGAATCAGCCATCAGGGGACTTTGAAGGGTACGAACTGATAGTGGGTTGGAATTTGGAAGCATTTGGGGGGGTGGTTGAGCCGTTGAGGTGGGGGGAAAAGTTCAATCATTTCCTTCAATGAGATGACATGATTTTGCCTTCTTCATCAAGCTCCAATTGGGGGAGATTAGGGTATGGACCGAATTATTAGAGGGGAATTGGAGTGAGAATGGGAGTGGGAGTGGGACAGGGAGGACCCTGTGGAGCACAGGCTGTTGAATGTAGACAGCCAATTTTTTTTCCCATCTTTAGAAACGATTGACTAATTGTGGCTTAGAATTTGTGATACATTGCACATTGGTGAGACCCAATGGGACTGGAGGACGCACTCAGTCTTGTTGATCAGAGGGCCTCAATCATTCAATATGGTTCGAACCCACAAATTGGGTGGTCAGGATCAGTTGTTCAGCAGTGGCTAAACATCTTTGGGTCCAAAATCCAAACCCACAACATGCTGAACTGATAGGTGTATAATGTTAGGGTATTGGTTTGTTGGAATTTTGAATTCCATGTCGAATTTGATCCGGTTAAAGGTGATCCAAGTTCAATTCCTTTATAATTGGATCAAATATGGATTCACCCCTCTTATCCGATAAGATTCAAGTTAAATCTAAATATTTATCAATCAAACTTGGACTTGCGTATATACATTTTTGTGGTATTACATATTACACATTGCAGAGGATCAAGGGATGGAGACAGAGCAGGGTGCACCTGAGGACCTTACCCTACCACGGAGAGTATGCAGTTATGCATGTTTGATCCCTCACCTCCATATTTGGATGAGAGGCACCAAGCATGGTTTTTGAACTGTTGTTGATCTGGACAGTTGGATCATTTGGTCTGGGAACTATTTAGGCAATTTGTTCTGTTTCACCCTTAGCCCATCTTTTAGCAAAAAAATGTTGATTTGGTCAGCAATCCACTGACCCCAACGATCGAGCCATTGACCTGTTAGACCTAGACAATTATTTTTGGTCATTTTTATTTTTAAAAATTGAAATGGCCATCCATTCAAACTGGACAGTCGAACCACTGACCCAGAAACTGGTGGCCTAAGCGCTTCCGGTTCCGGATCGGTTTTTAAAACATTGACACCGACTACTGGGTCATCGGATGAGTATATCCAATTAGATCGGATCTATCTGCAGCCCTAATTCCTAAAACGACCTAAACCAGACCCCACCTGGTTCCTAAGGAAAGGGTCAACAATCCTGGTTTTTTTATTGACTTACTGTACTTGGTTCCCTTCGGCTCGGTTTGTTTGGGTGGAAATTTTCCACTCAAATATTTCGGCTATACTTATGCCCCTTTTACAGTTAAGGCAAAATATTCCACTTTTCGTGAATTGAAGCAAACACTGCCTAAAGAGTTCTGGTAATCAGGTTATTTGGACCTCTTGTCACATTGACCCATTTGTGCTATATGGTGAGGACTGGTGATTTGCCCAACTGCCAACCTCAGCTTTCCGTCAGATAGGTTAGCCACTATTTATTCGAGATTTTCTGAGTGATATCAACTGTCTGAAAGAAGCCCAAGAAAGGTGATTAAATTGAACACCTGACAAGGGCTTTTGGATCCATGAACAGAGGATAACAAAAGGAAACACATCTGGGTCCTGAGGCCCCTGACCATGCTGACGGTGAAATATAGAAAACATGATCATAAAGAATTCTCTTATGGATTGGCAGAAACAGAAAAGTGAATCCGCTACTTTCTGGATCTGAAGTTTTGTCAAATTAGTATACCCTTGCACAAAATGTCCTAGATTTACCCAAATATGCCCGATACACCGGGTATGAATAGTTTCTTTTTTAGGTTTTACTTATTTTTTTTGAAATCAGTTCAGAGGGGTCGGTTTAAAGCCCAGCTACCCTCTGAACCAGTGGCTGACCTGATACAATCCCTGAAAGGGCGTATCGGGAAGCCATCGGCATGATACATATCATACTTTGAACCTTGGATTTACCTAGAATTGGAGCTTTTCTCAAGTAATACTATGCATTCAAAGTTTCAGCTGTACTTTTAGATTTGAAGTGCCCTGACTTCAACACTTAAGCTAGTAAATCAACTTCTTGGTGAAACCAATGTTAGTAGCTTCTTTAAAGAGGTTCAGTCTACGCAGCTCAATCAAAGCGAATTGGGATTTGCTCGTCACAGAGTGCACCCCACACCGACCTCAGAGGCACAACCCACCGTGTATTAGAAATATCTCCCATGAATGATAACACACAAGTATGGGAGATATTCCCAATATGCGGTTGAGACGTGCTGTAAGATCGGTGTGTGGAGCATTCTGTAAGGAGTAGATCCGGACTCAACCAAAGCTGTAACCCTCCCAAATGGGCTCTAAAATGTTGGCTGTGCAAATCTTATGGGCTAACTAGGAAAATCATCTTGATAGTTGAAGGAGATTCCAAAATTGTTGTGGGATGGCTGACAGAACCAGCTTCAGCTATGTGGCGATATAGAGACTTATTGAAGAAAGTCAACTGGCTCACAAGAAATATGACAGTTATCTCTCTTTGGGTGGAAAGATCAGCAAATACTTTAGCAGATGGGCTAGCTAAGCAAGGGGCTTCAGGGATCATTTGTTTTGGGCTGCTATATAATTTTATTTTTGTTTATTTCTGTTTATTCTTGTTTTTAATTGATGTAATACTTTGTTAGAAGAGGTAACAGGTCGTGCCTCTTCATAGGTTTCCTGTATTGGCTTAATTTCTGGATTAATAAATTATTTTCATTCATCAAAAAAAAAAAACTAGGAAAATCATCCAAAGGAAAGAAAAGGGTTTCACATGCTAAGATAAACTTTGTGTATACATTCCAATCCTGTTTTGCTTCTATGTATACACTCAAAAATTAAAATAAGGGTTAGATAAATTTTAATTCAAAAGAAAATATATAAAGTGGCATGAATCCCAGGTCATTTTGCCCATTTAACATAATTTTTCTAAAATTCCAAACTCACACACTAGTTCTCACACATTTCCCTCAATTCTCTCAATAAAGATCATCTTGAGAACGCCTTGAGAATGATTAGTTCATTAATGCCTAACGATTTATGCTTTAGAATGGTTATTTTCATCATATTGATGCTTGTTGCTGTCAACCCTTAGAATCTTAAATAGGCTATTTAGTAGTTTTACTTTCATCATCAACCCCGTTGGTGGATCAGGAGGTAAAGTGCTGGAATTTAGAAGTTGGGGGTTGTCACAAAACAAAGTATGGGGGTGGTAAGTATTACTACACCCTAAGTACGGGGTGATTATGTAATTTATCCTTTTTTTATTTTCAAAATATATTGACAAATGTTACTTTTTGGTTAAAGATCGACTCTCTTGAAAGTTTAAAATTTCTTGAATATTTAAACAAATTCTTCTAGAAAATTTGACATTTGGTCAGTTCTGCAGATCTCTTATTTCTTAAGATCCAATTCTTTAGCAAAACAGTTCTGCTTCTTTTGATTTTGGTGATCTAAGTAAAACATAAATGTTTCTGGAATTCAAACCTAAAATTATTATTTTTTTCGCCAAAAGGTGTAATTGGCAGTTTTGTGAGTCCTTCCCTGAATACGTGTACAAGTTATGAAAAAGTAGGTATCTTCTTACACAGCAAAATTATTTCCTAGGGTAAAATACAAAAACCTCCTATGAAGTTTTTGACAATCATAAAAACCTCTCTTTATATTTTATTTTAACAAAAACTCTCTTATATTTTTTAAAAATTCAATAAATACCTCCCTCTTGTCAATGATCAAGACGAAAAACGTTAAAGAGATGATCAATTTTTTCAAATTACCTATTTTACCCTTATATGAATTAATATCCATATGTTTTTATTAAAATAGCGCTATCTCAACAACTCCATAAGCTGGAACACTCATCTTCCTCGTGAAGCACAGCGGCAGAATGGCAATACACTCCCCCTCCAACCTTCCCCCTTCTTTGATGGGTGAGCAACCATGGCGGCAAATGGATGATAATGTCAGACGTTCAACGATGGTACTGGAAATTTCGTTCAGCAATGGGAATGATACTCTGTTTTCTCGTTCATTACAGGAGGAAGCATGGGCACAAAAGACCTTACTGGGCCTTGGCGCAATGGAAAGCTTGCTTACTTGTAGAGAAGTGTGGAAGGAAGGTTGGCATAATATATCCCAAAAGATAAACCGGCGTCATCCAAAGAATCAAATATGGTCTTCTGTGGGAACCCTTGGATCAGCTTCATAGTATCGTGACTGATATATCCGTGCGACGTTGCAGAGTGCATGAATAACCGGTTTGGCTGCGTTGAATTGGGAAGCGATGCGAACCACCTATCACACACTGCAAACTACGACACAAACTCCTTGTATAACGGTATTACTTCCGGGTTAAACTCATTCATCACCGTCTCCGACAACCCCTTCTCTACGCTCTCTGCCTGCTGTGCAAATCTGTTCATCGTCGTCGCAATGCCGCCTTTATTAACCGATGATGACTACTGTCCCCATGGAACACCAAAAACCTGCTCGTAAATTGCCTGAAACGAGTGAGCAGGGTCAGGGTCGACGTACTCCAATTGGTTCCCAAAGTAAACCCGTTCCGAGTTGGGATCCGTTGCAGAGATCAAGTTGTATTCTTTCCCGGTGACACCATCAATTTCAGGGTTGATGGACTTCATCCACCCTAGCATGTGATCGAAGGAGTGGTTTTCTTGGATTAAAACCATGACGGTTTTGATGGAACATGAATTAATAGTGGAGGAGGCCTCCGAAGGCATGGTTGTCACTTTGGAATTGAGTTTGGTCTTCTGTTTCTGAATGGTAAGATGAGCAATCTTTAAGGGCAGTTCGTTACACAAAGCAACAAACTGAGACATGGTGATGATCGATAGAGTAGAGATAAGGGAGGATGGGGGAGCAAAACGTCTATCTTGGTGAAGCGGATCGCATATATATAGAAGAGCTAACCAGTTTGGTGATCGGTTATTTGGATCTGAGCCAACAAGGGCTATCAACTTTGGTGCTAGCCCTGTAATGAACAAAATTCCCCATTACATGGTTGCCCACCCTGGAGGAAGCATGGTTGCCCACCCATTACAGGTGCTTCCTCCTGTAATGAACAAGAAAACAGAGTACCGTTCCCGTTGCTGAACGAAATTTCCAGTGCCATCCTTAGACGTTTGACATTGTCATCCATCTGCCGCCATGGTTGCCCACCCATTAAAKAAGAGGGAAGGTTGGAGGGGGGTGTACTGTCGTTCTGCCGCTGTGAGTCGTAAGGAAGAAGATCAACAGTGTTCGAGCATATTATGGAGTTGCTGAGACAGGGCTATTTAGTAAAAACAGATGCACATTAATTCGTAAAAAGGTAAAATAGGTATTTTAAAAAATGATCATCTCTTAACGTTTTCTGTCTTGGTCATTGACAGAAGGGAGGTATTTGTTGAATTTTTTAAAAATAGAGGGGAGGTTTTTATGATTGTCAGAAACTTCATGGGGGTTTTTTGATCCCTTTATACCTTCCACTCAAAAGAAATAGAGAAGGGTCATTGCTTGGTGTAATGATAAAATCTCGGCTGACAAGAATGAGAAGATGGGTTTGAGTCAGAATGAGGCTACTTTGTGCGAAAAAAATGCCATGGTTCAGGACAGCATCCAGGGCACCCCTCCCAAGACCCCAAATAGTAGGGACCAATATTGGGTAATGGCCGTTTTTAGAGTAGTAGAGAATGAAAGGTTTGTCACTTTTTCCTACTCAATGATCATAGTCAAGTTGGTGAAGGATCAAAGATTGCAATGCTGATAAATCTGTATGAAGTGACACACATATTTACATAATGTGAATGCATGTATGTATATAATAAATCAGTTTGCCACTGGATGTTTACAGAACAGCCATTCTTTACTATCTAATTGGTCAGTCAGATTGCTCAGAAAGACGGATAATTATTCTGTTCATATGATTCCACTTTGACAAGACTGGGGAAGAACTTGAAATCTGTTTATAGTTGGAATTGGAGATCTACTTGCAGATTTGGTAGTTATGATTCTCCCATTTGGCATGTGAGCATTTTACAGTCTTATAACATACAGCTATATTGCCTCAGAAGATACTACATATATCAGCCATGTACATATGCTAACTAATGTGGCTTAGGAATGAAGTAGTTGCTTTAGATCAAGTAGTTGTCCTTGCCCATTTAAAAAGAGACGAGATTCGTCTTGAAAACAATTGCACTGAAAGCCAATAAATCAAATATAGTGCATTGCTATTTCTTTTCTTTTCCCAATTTTAGTTTGACTAATTAAATCACTTCCATTTCCTACCCTATTCATCAGGCAATAATCTTTCACTGTTAAAACATAAATCACTTTTATGTTACAGGTAATAAGAAATGACTTGTTACTAGTTGGAGGGCTAGAAGAGCTAGGGGCAGACTGAAAAGGACTAAGTAATAAGAAATGATTAAGCGTCCATGGCACTGAACAGAACAGAATGGTGAAACAGGATTCATGTAACCAATCCCATATAGTTGGGACAAGGCTTAGACGATGACAGTGGCGGAGCTAGGAATTTTCTTTTGGGGGGCCAAATTAAACAAGAAAATGAGATAAGGAGTAGAAGAGGTAGGGTTTGGAGAGAAATGGGCCAGGAAGGTTTGGGTCTATTATAGATTTTTTTAAAAAAAAAATAAACAATTTTTTTTTTTATTTTGGGAGTTGGAGGAGCATTACAGAGTGATCCTTAACAGTGAAATGCATCAAGCTATACTGGAATAGTGGAAGAGAAGGAGAAGTGCAAAGAATCTTCTATTAAGAAGAAAATCTTCCATGAAGAGAAGGATCATTTCCAAGAGTAGCATGTACTCTTTTAGATATGTTCAGCTACAGAGATATCGGCTGATAGCTGTAAACTTCACCTTTTCTGCTTAGTACAATGCTTTTAAATTGTAAAAGATGTCTTTAAAGATCATAACTGACAAAGTATGACATTTTTATAGTTACCCAAATACATATGAATTGATATCACTTCATTCTATTATTACATGATTGAACCTTTTCTCCTCTATATTTATATTTTATGCATCTCATAGCTTATTACGATGTTAATTTACATTGCCACTTGCACATAACCAAGTATACAGAGGTTGACATTAGTGAAAAATCATCCGTTCTTCAAAAAATGAACAGGTGATCATCGTCTCTTAAGGCATTCAAATCTTCCACTTCTGAGCCATCAGCCATGAGAACTTTACTCCCTCTTTTCCCAAACTTCTTCTCTGCATCCAAGGCATTTGAAAATAAAAAGTAAGGCCTTTTACCTGGCAACCAGACTTTTCATTTATTTTCCTCCTTTACGAGCTCATTGACTATACATGTCATGTGAATGCTATGTTCTATATCTCGGATTTTTTTTTGAGAAATTTGGTGTCTTACAGTTTGCAAGTGATGTGAACCATGTACCATTAGTTTCTTTTAATTTTTTTTTTTTTAATTTGTAACAAAACATAATTCAAGTATCATGTCAAAATACTTTGCTAATTAATATATATATATATATACATTTAAATTACTTTTTGAATTTTCTAATGGTCAAGTTCAAATATTAACGTGTCATTTTCTTTTGATAAACATTGAAGTGGTTAGTTCTACTTCTACAAGACAGTGCATGTGTGTACCTAGCTATTGAGTTTTTTCCCATGAATAGATGACACCCATACATTTAAATCTGATTGTCTGCTGAGAAAATTCATACATTTTTCTTTTGCTATTAGTTTTCCCATAATGATTTTCTCATTCTACTCTGATAAGTGTAGTAATATCTAGTTCTATTATTCACTTCATAAGTTAATTTTAATTTTCATTTTTCATTCATAATGACTTTGAATTTAAATCTGAATGGTCTGCTGAGGAAATTTCATGTTAAACTATGGAGATATTTATAGCTAATGTTTAAGAAATTTATGGGAGGTAACAAGCTTGTACCTGCTAATCTTAGAAGGTTTTCCATCGAGTCAGGCAAATGAATGAATTTTCCCATCTTGCTGCCTTCCATATTGTTAGCTTCGTTTGGATGATGGCCATATATTACCAACCTCATGGGTAATCTGATTGAACACGGGTGAGAAGGTGTTGCTGTTCCTGCAAAATAGTAGGTATAGTTTGTAAATAATCTTTGACTTTTATTTTACACATGAAAATTGAGAAAGACAACTATTTATTTAGGAATACTTGTACAATTAAAAAACATAAGTTAAATATAAAATAATACATATAACATATCTAAAATATATTTATACATTATTTATTGCTAATATATATATAGTTGGGATACATATATAACCAATTTGTACTTGCTTACCTATAAATATATATTTATACATATAATAAATATATATTATTATATGTAAATATATATTTATAGGTAAGCAAGTACAAATTGGTCTCTTAAAACAATATCTTTCATGAATTAAGATCCATTTAACTAAACAGGGTTCTCTACATAACCAGATTTGTACTTCCCTTCTTCATAACTTTTGCTCTTAAACTAAACAGGATTCTCTACATTTATTGAGCTTACCATTGCAGTGATTTGAATTATGTCCAGCTTAACATGATCACATTCTGAAGTCGCTGTTTTTTTTTTCTTAACCGGTAAAGTCAGTGTAGTGTGGCTGTTGTTTGGACTTGGGTATGTCAATGTTATCAATCTAAGAGAAAGTTCTCAGCTCAAGGACATGACAAGAACAATGGCATCATGTTCTTCATTTGCATTGATACTCATTTTTCATTTGGAGAAATCTCATCCTAGGTTAGTGTTTTTCAATGGCCAAACAACTTATGATATCAACTGACAACCCACATACAAATTTGCCTTTTCCATACAAACATGTACACAGCCCACATAATGTTCATGGACATTGTTTAGCAATTAATAAAAGATGGGAACATAGAACCTTCTAAGTTGGCATCTCCATCACAACTTAGTACTGATGCTTCATGGTCTCTTATTTTCTCTCCAGATGCTGTTTCCTGCATAGGGAACATAGTTATCATCACCACATCATACTGGTAGCTTTAATGTGCAGAAAGATACTAATATGCATATTAGGCATGACAAAACAACAAGCATCTCACTAAATAAGTATAGATGAACAGTGAGATGGGTGAGTGGGAAAACTAAAAAAGTCAGGATCAGAAATAAACTTATTGAAAGGAAAATAGGAGTAGCTCCAATAGGTGATGAAATGAGGGAAAGTAGATTAAGATGGTTTGGGCACATGAAGAGAAGATCATCTACAGCACCAGTAAGAAGTATTGATCTGTTATAAGTTGAAGGGGCTAGAAGATCTAGGGGCAAGACAAAAGGGACATGGGTTGAAATAGTGAGAAATGATTTAAAGGTTCATAATTTAACAGTGGATATAGGATTGAACAGAATGGAATGGCAGAATAGGATTCATGTAGCCAGTCCCATATAATTAGGAAAAGGCTTTGATGATGACGATGACCCTATTATAAGAAAATTGTTCCTACTCTCCTTTCAAACAACAGAATGTATGATTTCATACATGACAAAAATGATGTAAGTGTAATAGTTGATGAAAACATATCTGCATGCCTCTATTTTGAGGTTTTTTGTGAATGATATTATGGCTGTTTATTTGTATGTGTGGAATGTGAGGTTGCAATTAGTACTCAAGGAACAGATACATGTCCATGCTCAAGTTCTTACTGCATTTGTCAACCAAAACGTACAAATATTATGATATTAATGTTGTGAAAAAGCTATAAATATTTGATCAGTGAATTTCATGTTCAATGGGAAAGAGCCCCTTTAAAGATTGAGTACCTTAAGAAGATATGGCCCTCAATTTCTTCTTCTGAGGACTCAGATTAAATTAAGTTAAAGAAACTAAAATGAAATTATATATTATAATAGTTTTACTTCAAGAAAACTAGCATGCTCTATTCTTTTACACACTCTCTCTCTCTCTCTCGATCTCATACACAGGCATGTAAATAAACACTTGCACCCACATAGAGGTAGATATACAGTTACAGATACTCATTCAAACATTTACCATTTGTGACAAATTACTTCCTGGTTGGAGATGAAGACTAACCTTATTATTCAGGTCATCCAGCTCTTCTGTTATAAATGGTATTTCATCCAATATTTCTCTTTTTAATCCCTTCAAATACTGAACATAGAGGGGTTAGTATTATAGGGAAAAATGCAAAAGATGCGAAGTTGGAAATTATGTGACCTGAAAACCAAAAACATTTACCCCAAGGCTGTGCTTATTTTGATGTAATATGCATAAGTATAGATAAAATATTTTAGAATGAAACATTCAGTCCCTTTTAAGGTTGAAAGAAAAGGAGACTGAAGGTATGACCTTTGGATTTGAGATCACTTGAAATCGATTACATTGAACATGGCCTTTCATCATGTTGGTTTCCTTTAATGGTAAAACATATGACTATTTACTTGAGTATAATCATGCCAATTGTTTGAATTCTTTTATTTGTTTTATGAAGGAGGAGCATAGGAGACTGCCATGAAAATAGTCTGTGGGTTTTTCTGTCATTTTCGTATAGGGTGGTTTGCAATCTTTTCTTTTTTTTTTTGGAATTTGAAAAACATGGAACATTATATTGGTAAAACATTGACTTAAAACAACGAATCTAATACTCTAGACCATTTGTTTTCCTCAAAGTCCAAACCTGAATGAAATTAGAGATAATTGTTTTTCCATCTTCAATATGCGGCTGCACAATTTGCTTGAAGTGTTGATGACTTATTCGGATGACCTGAGAAAGTCTCTTGCTTCTCACTATGAAAGGTTGTGGAACGTTGAAAATTACCCCAATTTCTCCTGCCATGTCTGAAGGTCCTAATTTTGAAAGAACCTGAAAAGTTCACAACAATTTAGATTGCATTATGTGAAAAAACACAAAGCTCTGGCTAAAGCTCTGGCTTCCAGAGTTACCTTCATTTGCATTATGTGATTCCACAATTTAGATGTATTTTACATAGGGACACTTCACATGCTAGTTCTCTGTTCCTCATTAGAATTCGGATCATCCCTATTCGAATCTTTGGATCGGAATCAGATTCCCCCTATATTTATAAATATAAAAATATATAATACATATATATATGTTATTTATTTATTTATAAATATATTATTTATATTGTATTTTTATAAATTTGTTATACTATTTATTTATTTATTAAAAACATGTATATATATGATGAAAATAATTGAAAAATAGTTGTACTTTTTGTTTTTTCTTTATTTAAATTGGTATATTTTATTTTTCTTTTAATAATTTATTAATTTTCAAAGAAAACAAGTCGGATCAGATCAGATCCAAAGATCCGACTTATCAATAGGATTCGAATTCAAATCAAGGCCTATCAGATCCTATCGGATCTTCAGATCTGACATAAACAGTGTTGGATCGGATTTGGATATACCCTGATTCAAATCCGATCCAATTCGTTTGCATCCCTATTCCTCATTATTTAGCTCATTTTATCTCAAAAACTATAAATAATCTTGTTACTATAATACAATATATTTAAATGTCATATCCTGAAGCTTCTAAGAATTTTGTTACTAGAATATACCATGTTTAAATGTTAAGATTACATGAATAGAAATGTAAACCCCTTGCTTCTCCATCCTCATTTTCCTTGGAAAATATGCCTCTGTTTCTATCTGAATTGGTATCAATAACTAACCTGCCTATGACATTGATATGCAAATATGTGGTTTGGAGGCATGCTGCATGCTGTTAATTCAGTCAAAGTGAGTATTTGTTTTAGCTCAATGTTTCCATTGGTTCCTTAATATATGTCTTATATGAACCAAAGATGTTTTAAACTTCTATGGTCTCCTATGGAAAAATATTGATGTATTTGTCAAGCTACTCAATAGATGATGGCTGAATATTGAATGAGGTATAACCAATTATGCATGTAATCTGATCTAACTCCATATCTTAAAGAAATCCTGTTTGAGTCTAGTATTAAAATTCTTGACAGCAATACCATGTTACTCTTTATATTTAATTCTTTTTATGCTTGAAATTTCAAGTTCTATAGATAAGTTACTGTAAATCAGAATTTCTTTTTACTACTTTCTGATCAAAAGATGAAAACGAAAGTTGTCATCACCCACCCTTTGTTAGAGTAGAAGCCTCTTTTTAATGTACCCATACCATTTTGTTGTTCCTATGTTCATGCCTCTAGGAAATTAGTTGTTACTCGGAATGGCTTGTATGTACCTGTTCTGTTCCATTCTTGTAGATCAGCAGGTCCTGTAGATTTATGTACAGTTAGACTCCGCATCTCAGAAAGGAAACAGTATAAAAAAGTCAGAAAAGGGAGCTATCATACCACTGCACCAGAGGCTATGATGTAGAAATCTGTGGGTATTTCATTCTGTAAAATAATATCAACTTTAGGTGGAAAATATTCTGCTTTCATCTCAGCAACCTGTGAGAGGAACTCCAATGAGCTACTGAACGGAAAAAATGAAAAGAGAGCACTTACAAATTAGTAGCCCAAACTTTTTTTCATATTAATGCTTCTACTGCTAATGTATTAGTTTTCTTTCTGCTTTTTTTTTTTTTTTTTGAGGGGGGGGGAGGGGCTCAATCTAATGTATTTGTTTGGGATACTAGCTGATACACAACAGGACACATACTATGACCAGGAGGGCATGAATAAACAATTTCTATTATAAACCAGGCTACTCGAGAGCTTTAGCAATAACCCAAGGAAGATGGTGATTAAATAAAAACACTTAGGTTAACATAAAAGAGTTGCAGGAAATTTTATGGTATTATACACTGTTTTGTTTCTTTATAATGTGAATGCCAAAAAAAAAAAGGTTTTGAAGCTTAACTTTGATAAGCAGCTTCTGAGATTCGTTGAAACTGGGAATGTCCAGGACAGAATTATTTTGGGGTGACAAGGGAGAATATGTAAACTGTGACCTAGTTTAGGAAAATGATGCTGACAAAAGATGATAACATCTTTTCTTCAAGGCCATTGGTTTTTTTCTTTTTTCCTATATATCTTCATAAGAATCTTCCAAGAAGTCCAATGGTGAATAGCTCTTTATACGCTAGTTTATTGGCTTCAAGAGGATAAGGATCATTAATACTACCTTGCTGTGTGGATCATGATTTTGAAATCAGCAGAAGAGTAGGAGACTTTCTATGAGGTTGTCAGACTCTTGGAGAGGTTAATGACCTAATTCTCTTCTCAGAAAAAAAAATGCACACTTTCTTTTTCTTTAGGGTGTATTTGTTTCCATGTAAAAGGTGGTGAAAAAAATGCTTTTGCCAATGAAACAAGAGTAAAAGTTTTATTCCCCATAACAACAACCTAAAAAGAAGTAATGAAAAAGGAATGGAAATTATTTTACCAACTGGATTATTAGATCTTGAGAAACTCCTTTGAGAAGGTAAGAATTTTCAACAACTCCCTGGAAGAGATGTTGGGCAATGCTGGATCTTATTGCCTTTGGCAAGTCCTCAAGCACTTCTTCCTGCTGTAACTCTGTTGTCTTGAACTTGAGTTGCACATGTGCTACCATCTGCTCCTTCAAGCTTTCTGGAAGTCGATTCTTGCTTGCATATCGCAAAATCTCATTGATGGCATCCCTCTGTAAAAGGGAAAAACAAGTTGCTTCAAAACATGAGAGCACTTGTTTACTATAACTAGCTGAGGTTTTGATGGTGGTAAATATCCGATATCATGAAGCATTGAATGATTAGCAGTGTGTTTCACGGTTGAATGTGCAAATCAGTTCTGAATCAAACTGAACTAGCATCTCTTTATGACACATTCAGAGTTGCCTGTGGTGCTCCTTTGTGGAGCTAATGGCTCCATGGATGAGGTTGCTTGCAGAAAAGGGAGTTATTTCAAGCATTGGAAAAAGAGAATGAGGACTTACCATTACAAAGGTCCGTATAGCACTGTGGACAATAAGATTGGTCATGTTTCCAATTATGTATGCAGTGAGGCCAATGTTGAAGAGCATGTAGCAGATGTTGAAAACCTTCTCTCCATTATTTTGTGAGTGAAGATCTCCATAGCCCACAGTTGCCAGGGTGACGATAGACCAGTACATGGAATAAGTATAGCCCACCCAGATGCTACGGTTTTCAAAATCATCCAATGCACTTCCAATCCATGTTTTACTTTTGTTTGGGTAATGGGTGGCCAGCCAGTAGTAGAAGCAACCAGCTGAGTGCACTGCAAATAGAGTCACCTGCAATCGATAAATAGCAAATAAATTATTAAATCAAATTCCAGCTTCTACTGCATTTGGTATCTATTTAAGTGTTTGAGAAGAGGGAGCTCTCAAATGGCTGTGCAATTTTGGCTGCCTGCTAAGTAGTAGAAAGTAGAAGCCAGAGGTACTTACAGCTATGAGTTTACAGTATCTTGTCCAGAAGTAGCTGAAACGTGTGTCTTTCTCTAGTCTGCAGAAAAAAAGTAAAATAGTTGAATTCCATTTTTTCTTTAAATTCTTCTCTTTTGTGTTTTCTGATATTGTATTACATTGTTTATAGGAGGAAAAAAAACAGAAGAACTCCATAGACATCATTGTTATGCACAAGAAGCATGGCAAAAAGCTTCGTCAAAGTTCCTAGAGCAACACTTCAAGGTAACCATCAATCAATCATGAACGGCTACGGCTATGAGAAAAACTTTGGAGCTTAAGAACTTTATCATAGTATACTGAATCGATGGTAAAGCCAGGATTTAAACATTCTAATCACTGTTCCTTCATGTCAAGTTACTAGTCATATTCTCATATGTAGAAGCAGAATAGAACCATCTTTTCTCATTCCTAGGTCTTTAGAAAACAGAGTGGAAACTCTGATGTTTAATCTTTGGGTCTACTCAGTGATCTCCAACCTCTCAAATCTCAAATTCCATAGCGCATGCAAGAAATGCTGCTGAATTGAACTAAAATAATGGTGTCTCCGGTGCCAATTCCAGGCGCTACAGCTCTTGAATCCAGGAGAATAAACGATTTGCATTTCAAATATTAAAATGGATGATACATTTATACCTAACCTTGTGAAAAGTTCGCTAACACGCCTGAGCCGCCACAGCCGGAGCAAGTTGAGGAAGCCAAAAACTTCGCCGTGGTGCATTTTTCCGGTGAGAATTCGGTAAATGACCTGGTATGGCAGGGTTGAAGCTACGTCCATGGGAAACCATAACTTGGTAACGTACCTGAGATGAAGATGAGTTTGAGTTAATAGATAGGGCTAGGAGAAAATGTAGAGAGCGCCAATGCGCCATGGGAATTGGACACAAGCAGAGAATCCATGTATATAGTACCGTGAAGCAATCTTCTTGGGATGATCGACGAGGAGATAGGTGGATTTATCCAAGTAGGCTACAAAGAAGGTCATAACAATGTCCATAGCGAAGAAAGCATCGACCACCAAATCAACAGGCAAGAGAGCGCCGGTCGCCACTTTTTTGAACGCTAGCTCGAAGGGAGATGACCATGCTGAGTATATCACTAGCACCACCAGGAACGTCTGCCACAACCTGCGCATTTTTTTTTTTTTTTTGTAAATAGTACAGTCAAAATGGCTGCTGGTATGGGTGCAAATGGATCGACAGAAATCGGATCGGATTCACACCACCCCTATCCGATCCGATATATATAATACATATATATTATTTATTTAATTTGTTATATTATTTATTTTTTATAAAAAACACACATATATATGACAAAAATAATTAAAAAATACTTGTATTTTTGTTCTTATTTTTATTTAAATTAGTATATTTTATTTTTCTTTTTAATAATTTATTCATTTTTAAAGAAAACAAGTCGAATCGATTCAAATCTGAAGATCCAACTTACCAATAAAACTTGAATTCAAATCGAGTAATATCAAATCTGATTGAATATTCAGATCGGATCAGATCCGACATAAACAATGTCAAATTGGATTCGAATATATTTTTATATTTTCATCCCTTTATTATCCCTTCATTGTGGCAAAATCTAGGATTCATTGCACTATGCAGCAAAGCACATGATTGAAAATGATGGCAAGTATATCTATTCATGGCCCGAGCTTTAGGTTTGATTTATCACTATGTTGGGTTTGGGCTTTGGGCTGGTCCATTTAAATTTTAACAAAAGTAAAGCCCGAGGTCTCTTCTACTCTAATGTGTATTGAGATCGAACATCTAACCATGAATAACAATACATAAAAAAGTTTGGAAAAGATTCACGGTGTGCGGAATAGGCGTATTGTGAGGTTGGTGTGAAAAGCACTGGGCGAGGAGCAGATCTAGACTCGCATTTTATAAAACATGAAACGATGAAAAATAAAGACTTCGAACATGATTGATTTGATATCTAGATTTAACGAATGCTGGTGGCAGCAGAATTTGATCTGAGGGATAAGACTAGCTTTGAACTGACTGAAGACTTTAGAGTAATTTAACATAGAGCAAATTTGTGAACAAAATAGATACAAAATGAGCTAATTTCAGTATCGAATTCTTTGCATTTGTGGGTTCAAATTTTGTGTGAATTTAAAAATAAATCAAAATCATTTTATTTAAAATCAAATTGGTTATCGAAATTTCAAAACAAAAACATCAGAATAGGGGTGGGTTCAAGCCGAGCCGAGTTAAATAGTACGAGGCTCGAGCTCGGCTTGCCAAGGTAGTATAAGGCTCAAGTTCGAGCTCGAGCTTGGTTTGAGCTAGAACCTTGAGCTCGAGCTCGGCTCGCCAAGGTAGTATAAGGCTCAAGTTCGATCTCGAGCTTGGTTTGAGCTAAAACCTTGAGCTCAAGCTCGGCTCGAGTCAAAAACTTGTAATATTTTTATTTGACATTTAAAAAATTAAGAATTATAATAATTAGTTATTAGTATATATAAAAATAAAAATGTTATATATATAATACTTTTAGTATATATTTATTATTATTATTATTATTATTATTATTATATATGTATGTATGTATGTATGTATGTATAAGTAGTTATTTGAGCTCGGCTCGTGGCTCACGAGCCTCACAAGTCAAGTTATATTAGGCTTAAATTCGACTCAATTATTAAAGAGGCCTATAAATTGGGCTCGAGCTAGGCTTAAAACTTGGTTGAAACCGAGCCGAACTGAGTTTTTCATGAGCCAAAATCGAATAGCTCATGAAAAACTTGACTCATGGCCACCCTTACATGGCAAACATGTTTTTAGTTATATATGCACTTTTTATTTGTAAAACTGAAAAAAAACAAAGTAGGGGTGCAATTTGGGTCAGGTTTCGTTGGGAATTTATTAATTTTCAATGGGCCCCAACCCCTAACTTGAACCCGATGAAGCTGAAATTCTTCAAAGCAGGCAATCTGACTTGCAGCCCTACCAAAAAAACAGAATCTTGAGTTTGTGAATTAAAGAGCAAATTTTCATCTGATCAATTAATAATGTTCTATAAATCATACAGGGAAAAATTTTCTTGTTGCAAGTTTCCAAAGCAAGTCAAAACCACATTTGGTTTGAAAACAAATAGGTTCTTCCAACAGAAACACATTAAACATGTTCTTGTATTTGTGATTTAAAGAACAATTTTTCATTTAATAATAATGTTTTATAATTCATATGATATTTGTACTCCAAAGTTGTTGTTTGTTTTAAAATACATCATTGTGACGATTTTAAGAACAGAATTGTTTTTTATATATATAAAACCAACTTGTTTTTTCTTTTCAAAACAATGGAGTTCAAAGCGTGATTTTGTTTTTGTCTATGTTGTGGGCGGATAAGACATAATACTGAAAAAAGCTTTAGCCAAGTGAATTTTGATTAATACCACCTGATTGGACTTTTATGATACAAGTTGGTTGGTTACAAGTTTTTCTGATATGATAGTCGAACTCTAAAGGTGTGTTTGATTGCAGTGCAATTTTATTTGTACTAATACAAATGCATGAGAGTGTAAATGAAAAAAATGCAAATTCTCATTTGATTTTATTTTGCACTGCAATCAAATAAAATAAGTTAAAATTTGACACAAAAATAAGTAAAAATTTACACTAAAATTATTTGCACTGTCATAATTTTGTATCAATACAAATTTATTTGCATTGCAACCGAACAAAGCATAAAAAACAAATGAAAGTTAAAAATTCATGGTGTAGAATACCCCCTACCCCTAGAGGGGTCAATGTTTTATTTTGATGTTTCTCTCAATATCTCCTAAATTAATTAAAGAAAATAATTCAGTCCATATTTGATCGGTGGAAAATAAGTTACTTTCTATTAGACCAAACACAGCCTTAGCTCCTTTCATTCATTCAGGTTTATGCATGGTTGAAATTTAGGCTCCGTTCGTTTTTTGATAAGTTATTTATGCAGGTAAATGCAGTTATCTGGGTAAGTTTTTCTTGGGAAACACTTACCTAGGTAAGTACATTTACCCATGTTCTTTTTTTTCTCATGTAAATAAGGCAATGACCATGTTATCCATAAAAATTCATTATTAAAAGGGGCATTTTTGTCCTATTCAAGTGTTGTCAAATTTCCCCCTAGGTGGGAAAATTATGTAACTACCTAGGAGATGGGTATCACTTGCCCTTAGGAAAATAAATTTTTCCTGCCCACATAAATCTGAAAAAAGAGCATGTGATTCTTGGTAACCAATATCCTATTGATCAACTTTTCCCCCCAAAATCTGAAAACAAAAGGCCCCTTAAAAGGGATTGCAGACTTTGCAGTGCTTTTATTATAGTAGATAAAAGTCTTCATTCACGTCTCTCTCTGTCTTTCTCTGTCTTTCTATTCACGTTCAGTAGTAGTTGCAAGAAAAATTCAAAAACCCAACGGTGCATGTATTGAATAAGAAAAAAACAAATTAAGCTTTATTTACGTAATAACGTGAATGAGTTAAAAATGATGAAAATAGTTGGACTTCAGACCTCTACATAGTCATGCTTTGCAAATTATCAAGAGAGAGATTCAAGACTCAGGCACGGGCAGTGGGTGAAAAAGCTAATTAAAGAGGTTTCTCTCACTACTTAATTTTCTCGATCTGTTTTGGGGGGCCGGAATGGCGTCCATTCGTTTCTGAACCCACTTGACTTGAGCAATCCAACACGTCATGGACTCATGGCGTCCATTCGTTTCTCACCGGTTCCCTGTGCTGTTTTCTTTCTTTTTTCTCTCTCTAGGGTTGTTCATAAGATCAATCAATATCAAATTTACCAATTCAACTCAATTTAATCTGGGTTGGTCTGTTTTCAACTATTTTTATCGGATTCGGTTCATGGAGGTCGGATCATTTTCAGTTTGATTATGTATAAATTGACCCGACCTGATTTAAAAAAAAAATTATTATAAAAAAGTGAGAAATTTTTTATATTTCTTAGTTTAACATAATTTATATTTTATTTTTTTAAATATCATTGCAATTATTAATTAACTTTGTTGTTTTAAATTTTTTATCCAAAATTAGTTATAGGCTATTTTTGAATTGATGGATCAAATCCATAAATTGATCTAAACCAATAGATTCAAGTTGGCTAATATTCACTAATGATCAGTTGGTTTTGGGGTCAATTCCTCAACTCGATCAAGTCAATTTAATTCACCAAACAGCCTACAATGCAACTGAACTACCATTGAACATCTCTCTCTCTGAAATTTTCTCCCTAACTAAGTAGTTCCACGACTAATTCCCGTCTTGATTCATGATTCATATCTTCCTTTTGGGTTTTCCGTTTATGTGCATAAAATGCAGATTTTCTGTGTAAAAACAATCTGTATCCATTGTCTATCTGCAAGTGTTCCTCCATGTGTTGGCATAGTTTTCATTTCTTTTTCTTTCTCTTCATATCGTTTCTTTTGACAAGATGAGCAAAAGCTAGCTAAGGACTACGCAGAGGAGAGGAGACCAACCCAAGAACTAGCTAGCAGCCTACCACACAAACAAAACAAACCTCCAATGGAAAACCTTTAACCTAAAAGAAAATAAACAAATCTCAACCCATGAAAGTTGTTAAATAATGCTTTCGCTTAACCTTTGTTCACAACTCTAAAAAAACAGAGAAACAGACAGACAGACACCGAGAGAGAGAAGAAGGGCATGATACCTATATCTGCGATCATAAGGAGCGATTATATATTTTCTGAGCTGCACAGACCCTTCGGCGACAGTCCCGAATGCAGGCAATAAGCTGCTGGAAATGGAAGCTAAGTTCTTGATTTCACCATTCGAGGAGTATCTCCGAACCAACAGTGGCGCCGGTGACCTTGTTGCGCTCTCAGTCTCCGTCGACATCGTCAGTATAGCCCCGCCGGATTTACAAAATACAAATCTGGGTCAGCTTAACTGAAATTAGTACTAGATATATATAGAGAGAGAGAGTAGCTACTAAATTCTCCTCTCTCTTGTTTAATTTTGAATCCATTTCCACCTACGGAATGGAAGCTAATACCACAACTTTATTTTATATTTATAAAAGTGATAAAATATTATATTAAATTAAAAAATACTTTAATTGTGCATTGATTGATCCAGAAGTCAAAGATATAGGAGGTTGAATTATTTGATAATTCCTTGCAATTTCCTCGCCGAGTTGGCAGTATTAATTTGGCATGGTAATAAATCCCCAGGAGATTGAAAATCAAGTTGATATTTGATAGGATGCCAACGGGTCGGGTACGTTGCGGGTTTGCCTAAACCTGAACCTGAACCTGCCCTAAAGTAATACTTGCCCAGAGCTACCCCGATTATTAAGGCTGTGTTTGGTTTGGTTGTAATGTAAATAAATTTGTATTGATGCAAAACAATGGCAGTGTAAACGATTTGAGTGTAAATTCTAACTTATTTTTATTTCAAATTTTAGTTTATTTTATTTAATAAATTAAGACATAAAACAGAATAAATAAAATCTAAAACAAAATTAAATAAGAATTTAATTTTTTCTTTTTTTGCTTTTGCACTCTTATACATTTGTACTAATACAAATAAATTTATAATGCAACCAAATACAACCTAAATGAAGAGGAGCTATCGAAACTGTTACGCCCCATCCCATGTATAACCTATATCCAATTGATATTATATATACTAATATATTTTTCAAAGCTGCAGTGCCAACCATTCGGGTTAGGGTGGATTCTCCCTAACCCAAAACCCGATTAAGACCAAACCGGCCCTAAGACAATAGGGTCGGGTCAGTGCGGATTTACCACCAAACCCGATCCACTGACATCCCTAATTTGAAGAACAGCCGAGGAATTAGGATCGACTCAGAATCGCTGAAACTTGAAACCAGTAGATATCAGTTTTATTCTTTTCTATCATCTAAACTGACTTAATTGGTATCAGGCATGTTCGTGTGCATATCTGTAGATGAATTATTGCGAATAACCATGAAAAAAGCAATTGTTAATTGTTTTCTTCTTTGACCAAATGCATCTCTACAGATTTTCTACTAGTTTGAGGACGTGGGGTTGTTTTCATGTTTTGTATGTGTATGTGATGCCTGATGTCATAGCCATGACTCTAAACCCATGCATCTATCATCTATGTGGGGTTTTATGGTCATTCATGCATTGACATTGTGTGGTTGGTTATGTTGATACAAATACATCAATACCCACCATTTTCAGAAGTGTGGCATTTGTTCAGTGTGTGGTGTATTGGTGTGTACATGATTTATGAAGAGCATATGTACATGTGGCATGAATCACATCCATATCCATGCTTACATGGATGATATGTCGACCATGGTCTCAAGGCCGTGCCCTAGTGATATTTGAGCAATGAATGAGTGTAAGGATGTAGGGACTAGGGTGGTGACATGAATGCATACATTTTTATATTTCATTATTAAATAAATTATTAACAATAACAAGTTTTGGTGTATAATAATATTTTAATTTTTTTAACTTCAATTGTAATGTTATAAAAGAGGAAATTAATTGACTTTTGTGGATGGAATTGATTTGCATTTTTTAGGTCAACAAATCTGCCCTATTTAAAAGTTGAAGGGGCTAAAAGGGCTAGGGGTAAATCAAAAAAGATATAAATTAAAATAATAAAAAATGATTTAAGTGATCATATTTTAACAATGAATATGATATTTAACATAATAGAATGATGAAATAAGATTCATGTAACCGATCCCGTATAAATGGGATAAGGCTTGAATGATGATGATGATGAAACTCGTGCCCTAATCCCTCTTTAGTTTCCATTAGAGTATGTTCTTGGTCACATAAAAATCCTTTTTCTTGTCATTTGTACAAATAAGATACTTTCATTAGTTGACTTCAGAATATTGTTGAAAAAAATATACCTTATTACCTTATTCTAATGAAGTAATCAATCAATCCATGAATGTAGCATCACGCTTTCATTATTCTGTTTCATCACTAAACGAACAATTTATTTATTGAATGGTCCATATCAGTCATTAGAAAATCATTGTTTGAGAGTAGATAGTATACGGTTAGTATATGATAAATATACAAGTATAATAAATGCAAAAATAGGTATTTGCACTTCACCTACCTATAATACCATGCTCACATCATTTGCACAGCCTTTTATACCGTGCATTGGGAATATCTCCATGTTTTGTTTTTTATGAGATATTTTCAATGCAATGCTACAAGGGACTGTGTAAACAGTATGAGCATGGTCTTGTGAGTACTGAAGCCGATTTCATTTTGTTTTGCAGGTGTGGACTTCAACACTTAAGAGTGGTGACTTGGCATATCCAAAGAAGCTGATATGATGAGGTATCTTCTGAATTGACCAGCTAGCTAATGTGTTGTTAGTCTTGTCCACATCATCCTCATGCCCACCATGTGTTAATTCTACCTTCTTACAAAAGACAAAGTTGTAATTTTGTACTTTCATGGACCTTCTACAGAGTAGAGACAATTTGGCACAACCATGTATTATTAAGGCTGCGCTTGGAAATGATGCAAATAAGTGTGAATGCAAATATATAGAGTGTAAAACGGTCCATATACATTGTAAAGTTGGGTTAGTTTTTCATTGACAAATTTACCTTCTTACCAAACAGACTTTTAGCTGTAATGGATGCAAATACAAATTCCAATAAAGCATATGCCTTTTTTTTATCAAAAGCCCACTTGAATGCAAATTTACTTCTTTTTTATTGATGTACTTTTACATCTTATTATCAATGTAAATATGCATTGTAAAATGTCTTTCCTGTCATTTGTCAATGTATAAATGTAATGTTGCCAAATACAGGCAAAAGTGAACCAAAGTGCAAATTTACCCTGGACCAGGATTTACACTCCATTTGCATCGTTTCCAAATGCAGCCTAAAATCTGTTTTATGTACACAAAAAGTTGTTATTTGGGCCTACATTTTGGGCTGGGTTCGTCAGGCTTCAACAATAGCTCAGCCCATGTATTCTGGAAGCTGAATATGCCTAGCCATTTTTTTTTTCGGCTTCCTTAAATAGGAGCCCGGATCTCCTATAGGCAAAAATTCATAAGGGGATGTTCTTAATGTGTGACCGGATGTCCATGCTTGCAGAGTATGTGCAGTTTTTGGAGATCCCGTGGCCTCAAACAACCATGCGTTTAAGAGGTTATATGACATTATGGCAGTTAGATGTATCAATCAATTTGTACTTTTGAAATACCCCATCCTAATTTCAGGGAAAAATAATGCAGAAATTTCCTAGTCAACAGTTTTTACTGCCAGATAGATTTCTGGTAGCAATGGAAACACAATGGTGGGGTGTTTGCATGACTATGAAGTTTTTTTTTTTTTTTGGTAAAGAGACTATTCTGAGGTTGAAACGCCTCGACCTCAAACGCAGCCATATCAAACACCCACATTGTTTATAGCAGATCCGAAGTGATATATAGGACTCTGATGTCAAGAGCTGACATGATATTCTGTGACTGGCCCAAAATTCAGTGTTTTTGAACCATTATTGACCCAGATGATTGGACCATTTGGTTCGGTTCAAAAACCATTCAGGCAACCGGTTCTGTTTCACTCTTAACCTGTTTCTTGGCCAAAAACCGTTGACCTAGGCAATCAAACCATCAATCCATTCGACCTGAGCAATGTTTTTTGGACTTTTATTTTAATTTTTTTATTTTTAAATTGGAACTGATGGTTGAACACCTAACCCAAAAACCGGTGGCCAAAGAAGTTCTGGTTCCGGATTGGTTTTTAAAACATTGCCAACTTTATAAGTAAAACTGTGGACCATTTGAAGTTCCATATGATGATTGAGATTTAAGACAAAGAAACCAATAAATTTAAGGGGTAATAATCTCATAATCCCCAAGGAGAGCTGTTTTTTATTGTGAGAAACGTTGTCAGAATCGGACCTGAGTAACGGACAGACATCCAAGAACGACCATTCAAACTCACATATGAAGATTAAGATGAATAGAGAAATTTAGGGGAGGTTTATAATGGATTGTTTTTCTGAACCAAATTGGAAATTCTTTCACTTTGTTTTGAAAAACAAATTCAACATTCAAGAACAGGTACTGTTTTATCGTTGAGGTGGCATAGCTTAGAAAATAGAAACAATAAAATCAGAAACATTCGTGTTTTATTTTCTATCAAACCAAGCATAACCTTACAGAATCATTTCTCTTATTCACAAATCGATATGAATGTTTAAAGCACAAAATGCTTTGCTAATTCCCAAATACTGTACAGACGTACAGTGCTGCACTAAAGAATCAAACTTAGATGATTCAAAGTTGAAGCATAAATTTCAGTAGCCAATTTTGCCGATGGAGAGAATAGAGAATAGTGCTTTCAATATTCTGCATATGATAGTAGTAAAGCATCAAACGACGATAAAGTCAAAGGCCTCAGCGATGGGAGAAAGACTTGAATTATTGAGATGGCCAAAGCCAAAAAAGTTACAAAATCCAAAAGAACAGAGGAGAGACAGAGACGGTGCTATCACCATCTCTTGCAAATACATATCAATTTCTTGGGAATTCAACAACTGCCGTTTACAATCTTTCTCTTCTAATTAGCCTTTCACCTGCACTTACCATGTGCCTCAGCAAGACTTATCCCCATCTCACAATCACAGAACCCCAAGTAAGGCCAGCTCCGAAACCTGCAGCCACTATTGTATGACCGGACCGCACCATACCACTTCGAACAGCTTCGTCCAATGCCAGGGGTATTGATGCAGCACTAGTATTGCCATAATTAGCCAAATTTGAAATAACCCGGTCTGGTGGGACTGCTAAACGTGTTGCAACAGCATCAATGATCCTTTGATTTGCCTGCATTAACAAGATCTGCATTAAGACAGCTTCAGGAAAGGAGGTCAAGAAAACTGATTTGAAGGATAGCCTATCAGTCCAACTCTTGGCACAGCCCTCCTGGGTGCAGTGTTGCATAGACTACTAAATGGATGAAGGCCCATATTACACAAGCTATAGATTTTAACACTGCATGGATTCTCGAGGGACACACTTCCATGAAATTTTTCCTTTTTCTTAATCTCATTTGACATAAACGGATGCCTATTAAAAAAAAAAAAATTGACATAAACAGACAGCTAATGTAGATAATGACTACCATATTTCATATGGAACGTTAATAAATAATTAACATAAATCAAACACTCTTCCTACAGATATAAGATGCTATAAAACTCATAAATTGATTCAATAATATACATGTTGCAACATGTCACTGGGTTCCTTTTTTTTTTGTATTGCTGAGTTTTCAGAACACGTATCAGATTCTGATTCTCATTTCCGTGTCAATGCAACATTAATGGGATGTCACACTATTGCACGTATATTTCATGGGTATTGGTGATATGGACATCACATTGGGATTTAGAAGGTGTTTTATAATATTTTTGGACTTTTAAATTTTATGTTTAGGTGTATTTTGGTAATTTTATGGTTGAATTATGTTTCAATGTTTATGGCAATAGGATGAGTAAAATAAGATTCAAAGTTTTCTTCGTGCTTTAGTATGGGCAACTCTTTAGTTTTCTCTTTTCTTAGTTCAAGTAGGAATTATTCATCTCCAAGGGCTATACATATGTAATGTCACTGATTTTTTTTTTCTTTCATCTAGAGTGAAAACGGGGGTAACCCCCCCCCCCCAAAAAAAAAAAAAAAGACTAGGGTGAAGGCAGGATTTGATCCCAAGTCTCTGCTACAACCAGCCAGATGCTTTCTTTGCTAGCAAACTAGCTGTCTGGCACCTTTCCAAGTGGTACAGTTCTGATGTATGCTTCTTTCTAACCCTAACTAGTGTTGTCTCCTATACTCTGTTCATATTCTTGCAAGTACCATCAAACTAGCATTTCTCAGAAGTTGTTTCTCCTCTCAAAAACTCTTAAACTTCATCCTAGAAAGTCCTTCTAAGTCTGGTCCAGCATCAATTGGGTCCAGAAGTGCTAGATTTCACTTTTGGAGATTTATCTAAATTACCTGATGAAGCAATAACCAATCAATGTCAGACCCCGTGAGACCAGCTTTTTCCAGGGCAGACTCAATTGACTGTGGCACACACCGAACAGCAAAACGGAATACCTCTTTGCCATTCATCTGGATACAGGAGTAAGATGACCGTCTAGGAGGGAAGTCCACCACTGAACCATTGGAGCCCAGCACATGATCAGTTTCATCATCCCTCGCCATAGCATTTAAGTACCTGCATAATAAACCAGTTGAGAAAAGTCAAAAATGTAATGCAAAATAAATAGTGAAAACCAAAACAGCAAAAATATAAGGATAAAGGCAAGTTCATTTGCTTTTTCCAAAAGACAAGAACAATACTTTCGGCCCTCCCCATCACTATGTAAGTCGAAACTAAATAAGCCATCCTCACTGCCATCACATGCCTGCAAAACAGTTATTCTATCAACATAGAAGTGATGGTCCATTTTCAAATATACACAACGAAGTCCATTTTCCATAAGAAATCTCAAGTATGAAAACTTGCTTGTTCCACCAGAAATCAAGCCACACAAGTAGAGGTAAAACTGTTAATGCTAACAAGAGACAATTTGAGCCAACAGATGGGTGAATACAAAGCATTTTCAAGTCACAATAGTTAGCCAAGTCACTTGGAATTCCTTTTTTTTTTTTTCTTTGGTGGAAATCACTTGGAATCTATGATACCCAGATATGGATACGAACCATGACATGGATATGAACAGGGATACAACTCTCCTTTTCCTAAAATTCTGGACAGATACTGGTAAGGGTATCCCATGTGATATGCTTATAGCATACATTTGTATCTAATTTTTGAAGCTAAGTATCATCTCTATAGATGTATGTCTTGCCAAATTTAATTAAATTTTTTATTGGAAATTTTAATTAAATTTCTAACATGTGCAGATATTTTTATAGTATAATTTGTTAAAACACACCACTGTACATATTTTAAAAGTGTTGATGCTATTGAGTTAGCCTAGAAGTATCCGCGCAGCATCCAGTATCATATCTGGTAAGTATACAGTACAGGTACACTAGGCATGTACAGGTATGGTTTCATAGCTTGGAATCAACAAGAAGAAATCTCCATGTATAATACTTCCACCATGAGAGACCCATGATGGAAGTGCTTCTTGCCTTCCAGACGAAGCAAATCCTTAATGTCTCAAGGCCATTCATTAAGGCCAAAGGTTAACCATTTAGGGTCAATTTGTTTGCAGTGTGAATCTCTTTGCACTGGTGCAAATGCATGGGAGTGTAAATAGGATGGGTGTATTTGCTTCAGAATTGACTTTGTCTTATTTGTCTGGAAGAATTGAATAGGTAATAAAATGATGTGGTCTCAACCTTCAATGAAAGAGAAAGGAAGTAGGAGAAGGGTACCAAATTATCAGGTATAGATCCTAACATTCCAACTCCTTGATAGCTGACTAGAATAACAGAAAACATGATGAAAACAAAATAAACCCTTTGGGATTTGTCATTCCATGCCTGAGCATTAAGTAGGCATAAGATCACAGGTATCCAATTTACAGTAAGCCCAGTAAAACTAAAAAATAAACCATGTACCTGTACTAATACGGCACCTGCAGCATCCCCAAAGAGAATACAAGTTCCTCTATCCGTCCAATCAACATATCGAGAAAGAGCATCAGCACCAATTACTAGAACATTTTGAAACCCACCTCCTGTATTTCAACCAGCATACCTTAATTGTATAGACCATGAGCAGGAGCTAGAAATAAAGTATAATATACCTAAATTACTACTCTAAACAAAATGAATACCTCTGATATGACAAGCAGCTGACACAAGACCCAATACAAACCCACTACATGCAGCTGTAATGTCATAGGCCAAAGGATTTCTTTTACAACCTAGTGCTTTCTGGATCTGTTGTCAAGAGAAGCATATTATGGATTTTTCAGAGGTCTTACAATATGAAAGATGAATGTAGAAGAAAGAAAATGAGATTTAAATCAGGTGTTAAAAATCTTAATCAACCAACATAATCCAATGGAGCTCCAGAAGTCCGGCATTTTATTTCTCATACAGAAGAGTTATTCGTACTGATACAGTAATACACATTTCTAACCATTCTGAAACTCAACATTCTACATTGAACATAAAAAAAAAACTATAATAAAAATAGAAAACAATATCAATGAAGTACTTATTTTTTTAAAAGTAAGATATTATAGTAATAATATAGTCAAAATGTGTTACAACTATAGGCCATGTACACAGTACACCCTTATGTATAGGACCATACAACTTGTTGGCAAGAAATTAACAAGAAAAGAAAACATTCCTATCAAAAAAATCTATACTAAATTCTTCAGTTGATTGTGGGCTGGTTGTGTTTGCTGGCATTGCTGCTTCTTTGGGGCTGGGTGATTTTTAAATCACCTATGTTGTACCCAATGTTTTAAAACACGGAGGCGTGACGTGAGGCGTTCCACTACCTAGAAGCGTGAGGTGTAGTTCAGAACGCAAGAGGCGTAAGCCTCCTTAAGAGGAGGGGGGTTAGAAGGAGAATGAAGAGGAAGGGGGGATCTCATTTTTTCTTTATTTTTAATAAACAACTTTTATATTAAGAAGAATAAAGATGCATAAAGTGCATGAGGAGGCGTAAGCCCCCTAATCTTTTCTTCCCTTACTATCATTTTCTCTTTTTTTTCTTCTCTTTCTTTTTCTTTCCCTTCCCTTTCCTGTTTTTCTCTTTTTTCTTTTTATATCAGATGTGTACGAGGCGCATGAGGCATATGCCTCTAGCACGCCTCATGAAAAAAGTGCAAGAGGCATACGCCTCAGAGGTGTCAGCACCTCTGGCATACGCCTCAGGGCGTTTTGGGAGCGCCTCGCCTGGAGGCGCGCCTCCAGGCGTACACCTCCCACGCCTTTTAAAACACTGGTTGTACCTTCTTCTTTCTTGATTTTTTTTATCAGTAAATTTTATTTTTTATTTATCTTCAAAAAGATCTGTTGAAACCCAGCCCCCTGAACACCTTATGAAGAACAAAGTTTTCCTTTATCTCTGTTTTTTTTTTTGATCAAATTCCTTTATCTCTGTTCAACAACACTAGACTATCAACGTAGGTGCTCTCAAATACTTGAGAATTCCTTTTCCTCCCATATACACCAAAATAGAACCACTGGAACATCCTCCATACAATTTTATCCCTCCTACTAACACCACTGATCTGCCAGCTCCAAGGCTCAAATGGATTGAGGAAAGCAGCCAACCAATCCAAAAGTATTCAGTAGGATGCTCCAAATTCTGAAGGCACTCAGACAGTGCAACAAGAGATGATTGACAGTTTCCAAATCCTCTGAACAAAAGACACACCAGTATCGAACCAATGTCATTCCCCTATGCAGCAATTTGTCCCGGGTAAGACATTTTTCCACTGCTGCAGTCAGTCCAAGCAAAAAAACATGACCTTGGAAGGAGCTCCACCGTGCCAATATCAATGGAGTACATGTCCTAGATTGAAACTACAAATGGACATGAATTCTATGGAACAGTATACTCTATTTATGGAAAAGGAGCCTCTTATCTCTAGAATTTGGTAGTTTTTATTTTTTTGACCTTATTTTGGCATCAGGTGGACACCACCGGAGCATATTGATAGCTCATTTAGGCCATCCTCCTTTTCGCTGCCAAAAGGTAAGGGAAAAATCTTATGGAGACGCACCAGAGCTACAGTTCTATGGACAGTGTGGGAGGAAAGATTGTGGCATCATCATCTACATCAAGGGCTCATTCCTTTCCTTGTTGGACCTCACCAGCCTCTCATATGATTATGATCAAGTAAAATTTTGATAGCAGCTGCTCAGGTAACCAGGTTGGTCAGGTATGGGTGGAGTTATTAGAAATACCCAAAGGAACATTTTGGCAATCTTTTCTGGGCCTATTGGCCATGGCAATTCATTGTAAAAGCCTGTTGGTGGTAGGGGGGCTCAATAGTAGTTTTTTCAGGTGGATTACAAGTAACAAAAATGCCTCTTGGGTTATAGGAATACAGTAAGAGAAAGATGACAGTTGGCTTGGGAGATGAAAGCAACATTCATATGGGCACAAAGATCAGCCAATAACCTAGCAAATAAACTAGTTCGGCAAGGGATAAATTGAAAGTGCAGTTTTGAGGAGTCATTTCCTTGGAGAGTCACATAAACTAAATGCTTGTATAAAGGGTTTGGGTTGATGATGCTAGCCCAAAATTCTAAGAGGGGTGCTTGGCATACTTTGTACTGTAACAGGAATCCTTTTTCAAAAATCAACAAAGTTCACCATTACCAATAGAAAAATGCTATAATTTTTTTTCTAGCAAATAGCAAGTGGTAGAAGCCTTTGATAAAATCACATTTAGGTTGGTACATGGGGTGAAAACAAAGGAGGAATATCACTATTTCTTTACAGATGACTTTGTTAGAGGATGGTGTAATGCCATCAACATCATCTATCCTCTACAACAAGACATACTTCTGCCATCCAAGAATGGAATCTCCCATCTCAAAACAGCATCAAGTTAAATTTTCAAGTGTGCAGTTTAGGAAACCCAGGAAGCTAGGAGGACATACAAGAACTATCAAGATGATATTCTAATGATTGAACTATCAAGATGATATTCTAATGATTTGCTCAGGCCTGATAGGATATGGAATGAGATTGGGCCAACATCTAGGGCATAGAACCCCAAAGGTAGAAGGGGACTCTAAGGTAGTAACTGGATAGAAGTAGGAGACAGACCAAGCACTTGACAATGTAGACAGACCATCATTGAGGTTAGAAGCTCAGCAACTGCATTAAATGCTAGTATGCTAAAACTAAATGGAGAAATGGATCCAAAGATCAGCAAATTCCTTGGWAAATGAACTGGCCAGGGATAATATCAATGGAAATGAGATATATGGGTGTTCAAATCACATTTAGCTTAAAAATAAAATAAAATTTTAATTAATAGAAAAAAGAAAATACATTTCTAAAAAAGGGTGATGAGATAGTCCATTATCATCTTTCCTATACCAGCAACAATTCTTTTAATATTTCTGGATTTGTCCTCAGAGAGCCTCCTGTTTCTCTCCTTTCATAATCTCCAGAATATTGCAAATGGAATACAGCTCCAGCAAAGTGGGGTTCAAATAATATGAGTTGAAAGTTAGTAATGCCATAATTGGTTGGTGAAGGCTAATTGGGGCTGGCCCTTGGGTTTATCAATTTCCAAGACTGGTGATGACTTTTATCAGTTTCTAGGTAGGCACTGACTGAAAAGCAGCAATCTAGAGTCCCTAGGCTCAAGCTGGTGCAAAGAAAATAAAAGAAACTGTGTATACTCAAGAAGAGAAAAGGAAAGAAGAAAGGGAAAATAAGAAAGAAAACAAAAAACAAAGAAAAGACAGAAAAATATCTAAGCTGATTAAATTATGACATCCATATTTTCATTATAAATTAATGAAATAAATTAAGGCCAACTGCAAATCACATAACTTAGGGAAATCACATATGTGGTTTAGATGCTTTCTCTTCTCTTCCCCATCTTGTGACAAACATAGAAAGTTCTCTCCCAGATACCTGTACGGCTGTACATGGATGCCATGCCATGTTTGCACCATGCCCACCCAAATCCTTACCATATTTGAGCTCAGGAGTCTATCAACAACTCCATTATGCAATGAAACTACTTAATCTCAATCGATCAATCAAGCAGCTCACAATAAAGTTCCTCATCCCCTTTTCCTGTGTCTGAAGTTCTGCCCTCATCTAGGAAAGAAGGGTAAGTGCCATTACCCAATGATGGATCTGCCTTTTTTTTTGTTTTGCTGACAGGGTGCACATTGTTTCCTGAATACAGTTTTGGAAACAATTTTAATGAATTACTTTATCATTCTTCAAAGAATTTGGGGTCTTGAAAGGGGTAGACTGGATATGAACCTAACCTTTTGCACATTTTTTTTTCTTTTTTGCACAAAGTGGCTGCTCTCAGAAAAGGGTAATTTAGATAATATTAATTATATATAATTAAGGGGGCAACTTTTTTGGACAGAGATAATATAATCCAAATTTTGGCTATCCAAGGAACCCTACCATCTCAGCATCACATGGACACTTTGATTACACTGATGGACAATGAGAAATGTTTTTTCTTACATAAGCTAGTTGACATGAAGCATATATTAGGAGCAAAACAACAACTACAATTTCATTTTTTATTTATGTGTCTTTGATTAATTTTATGATGCCCTAAAACAATAGCTTCATACCTGAGGTGCACTGCCAAAAAGATCATCCGGAGTAGATGTGCACATCAAAACTAGGTCCACATCGTCAGGATCAACTTCAGCCATCTGAAGAGCTTTCTTTGCTGCCTCCACGGCCAACCCTGTCAATCTATCTTTCCCTACCAAGACATAAGTAAAACCAGATATGGGTATATATTTACAGGGGTACAATGACCTAACAGAAAAATAATTCATCAACTAAATCAATTAAATAATGAACTAGGAAAGTCTTTTTTTTTATCAGTAGAATGAATTAGGAAAGTTTCTTCATAAATACCACCAACTCCAATTCCAAACATTCAGGAGAAATGTGTTCCATGCATCTAAGGGACTCAACAGCAGAATACACATACAAGTGGTTCAACCATGCATCAGACTGATATCTGGTTTAAATATTCTACCTGGTTAAAAATAACTAATGACATCCTTACACCCCCTGCAAGCTTGGAAAGCTTCAACCACACTACCAACACATTTTTCTTATCTTTATAAATGAGCTTCATGAAGAAGGAGATTACCTGAAAGAACTCGTCGATTACGAATGCCAGTTCGAACAGATATCCATTCATCAGAAGTTTCGACAATTTTTGCAAGATCATCATTGGAAATCATAAGGTTTGGTGTTGCAGATCCACATCCAACCAGCTTGCAACCTTTATTTACAAATCTGTGGGATGGGAAGCACTTGTCAAACATAGAAATTTAAAAGAATAACTTTACTTAAAAGAAACATTTTCGGCCCTAAAAAGGAATTTCCAGTTCTTTCTAAACAATTAAATTAATAGGTTCCAGTGACATGCATTGCCCCCATAGCCTAGGTGGCTTAAATGGGCCTAGCCAATCCCTATTTCCATTTGCAAATTATGGAATTCAGGATAGTTACAAAGAAAATAGAATTTGACATAAATATCAGTCATTAAAAAATGAAACATTTCTTTTTTGGTAAGGATAATGTGAAACTTTTTTATTTTCAAGAATTGGCACTTTGCATGCGTAAATAGTCATCTTTTACTAGTGTTTTCTCCTTATATTTCCCTACATTGTGGTGCATGTGTCGTAACAACTTTAACACCTTGACATGAAATTATTATTTTTCAACAACAGCTCACATAGAATATAAGAAAACATTACACTTAAGCAAAGCAGTGCAAATCTGGCCAACTTGAACAAGAAATCAAAACAGTAATGTAATGAGCTGGCCAAAAGACAGACAAGATTAAAAAGCTCACAAGATGTCATCACTGTCGAGGTGTATAAGCAATTCCAAGTGACAGTGGAGTGCCTAGTCACTTAACTCACTAATTTTATATACCAATAAGCATGCACACAAATTGAAAATTAGCAATGCTTTTTTCTACAACATTAGATTTCCTCTCAAAAATCAAAATACATGGTAAATCATCATTATTTGAAGGAGAATAGCATTTTAAATCTATTAACTTTAAAATTTCAAACACAAATCTAATATAAAATAAGTATTTAATAGAAAAATTACATGTTGAAGAATTACTACAACTAATATACTAATAAAAATTTAAAAGAGAAAAAGTAATAAAAAGGAAGAAAACAAGAGGTGGATCCCCTATTTTATTCAATTTTAGAGAGAAAATAATTGTAGAAAAAATAAGAATCCTCTTTTATCTCTCTCTGCTTTGTCTTCTTTTCTCAGAATCATTAAATCTTGTGTTATCCTTTAAATAGTAAAATCCTAGAATAAATCATAAATAATATATATGATATTGATATGACGTATCAAAACACATTAATAAAATGCAGCCATAGTAATATAGTAATAATACTACAAATTTACAATGAGGTGCATGCCTTGTGACTTGTGAGCTAGGCAGGCACCTAGGAGTTTGGATGGGCTCGCCACAGAGCATGCCCCACAGGTTCCCCACAGCCCTTCCCCCTCGGGCATTGGGAACATCTCCCTTGCTTGTCATGGGGAGATGTTCCCAATTCATAGGAGGGATGGGCTGTGGGGTGCATTCTATGGGGAGCTCATCCCATCTCGGCACCTAGTAATCTGGAACCTAAATCCCATTCTTATCAATCTACAGCAATCATTATGTGGGCTCCCCACAGAGCATGCCCCACAGGTTCCCCACAGCCCATCCCCCTCGGGCATTGGGAACATCTCCCTTGCTTGTCATGGGGAGATGTTCCCAATTCACAGGAGGGATGGGCTGTGGGGTGCATTCTATGGAGAGCTCATCCCATCTCGGCACCTAGTAATCTGGAACCTAAACCCCATTCTTATCAATCTACAGCAATCATTATGATATAGCCCCTCAAAATAACTGAAAACCATTTGCTGATCTTTTGATCCATTGGGAAGTGGTTCTAAATTCCCTTGCCAGGTAATGAGCCTCCTTTTGTTTTATTTGTCATTTTTTCTTCCTTGATTTTACCACTTATTTAGTTATTTTCATTTTCTTTGGTGATAGAAAAAAATAAACCTTAGTCATCAGTAGAAACTTAAAGCAGAAATCAACCTTAGTCATCAGTAGAGAAAAAGGCAACAAAGACAAATATAAAAATTGAATCATCACTAAACAACAGTAATTGTATGTGAGTGAGAATGATAACAAACAGATACTGACACAATATTGAATCAGCAGGACACCAATTAGTCCCTTACCCCATGGAACATTACCAAGCATTATAAGATTTCCTCACTCTGATTCAACCTTACATCCATCATATAACAGCACACAAAGAGGAAGTGACATGACAAAGGACCACTCTATAAAAGTAAAACATGAACTCTATTGTGGGAACTTCATCATACAAAGCAGTGAATTAAAAGTTTCATTGAACCAAATTAATTTGCCTTTTTAATAACTAAAAGTAGCTAGGCTGAAAAATTATAAGACTAAAATTAAACAAAAACATGGTGACAGGATTTATAAAATTAATATATTATTTTCCATCAAGAATCATATGATTAAAAAACCTCAACACTAACTATAGTCCAGTTTCAGCCACTATTAGTTTCAGAATACATGGTGAGAAAGTAGACCATAGGTCCAAATCAACCAACTAGGTAGAAATCCTTCTCTTCAAGTACTGGACTGCAGTACTTTATTGGAGTATGACATTCATGTTGATTGTCTTCAACGCAATCATGGGCTCATGGAAAACAACCAATCACTATACCAATCAATTCAAACATTCAAAACTTAATGAAACCAAACATTCCACCAACTTTTTATGAGATTAATCCATTAATCATAACCAATATGATTTTTGAATTTAAAGACCACCTAATCCTCTTCCATAAGCTTTTTGGAGGAGACAACTTCAAATTTCTACCACAAGGATGAATAACAAGGGGGAAAGGGGGAGAAGGACAGAGAAAGGATCCCCTTCTCTAATACCTCAAAATGCCTTGAAGAAACCTTTTGATAGACCTATTCAACAAGGTGGAGAATTGAAGCAGAACGCCCTGAAATCCATTTGATCCAATGATCCTCAAATCCCATCTTATTCCATTTAAGAAGCTACCAACCTACATGATCATAGCCTTCTCTAAATCCACCTTATAAACAAACCTTTCACAAAAGCACCTTAAGGGGGGACATGATTGAATTAAAACCTCTCTAAGCCAGAGAGAGTCAACACTTCAAAAATAATATCATAGAGACTAGTCACAAAAGCTAATTTATCCCTGTTAAAGAAATTTGGTGCAAGCCTATTCCACCTCGGGTTGGGAATTTTTGCTGGGAAACCTTTTTGGAAAGAATCAACACCTGTGATCTTCTTCAAAGAAAAATACCCAAGAATTGTCTATCCCCACACAGGTGTGTTCTTTGCAAAGCTGATAGAGAGACTGGATACCACTTATTAATGCCTTGTCATCATGCAACATCTATTTGGGCTTGGGCTTTGTCCATCTTTGAGTGTAGCTGGATCCCCCCCTCCGAATGTGCAGAGTTTATTTTCCCTATCTTTTTTCAGTTGGCCTGCAAAGAGGGGTAGGATCAAGTGGAGTGTTAGGACTGCTGTATGTTGGGTCTTTGTGGGAAGAAAGAAACTCCAGAATCTTCTCGGAAAAGGAGAGGGAAGCTGAGAACTTCATGGAGATGATCCACTTAAGGGTAGTGCACTGGCTGAAATCCATGGATTTGTCTTCAGACTTTTCTGTGGATGTTTTGTTGAGAAATTGGAAAGAAATAGCAAAATCAGTCCAGGTCAAGAGGGTCATTAGTCCTTCTTGGATCACCCCTTCTGCTGGGTATATAAAGTTAAACTTTGATGGCAGCAGCATTGGGAATCCAGAACAATCAGGAATTGGAGGGGTTTTCAGAAATGAGGAAGGAAATACTATAGCCCTTTTCTCTGGTCCAATTGGAGAGGGTGACCCTCTCAGGGCTGAGATATCAGCAGCCCTGGAAGGGATCCAAAGAGCAAGAGAACTGGATATTAGGAGACTGATTCTTGAAGGAGATTTGGAGATAGTAGTAAGTTGGTTAAAGGAAGACAAGCCTGGTTTGTGGAAATACAACAATGAGAGGAAAAATTTTAAATGGCTGGCAAAGGATATTGAAGTTAAGTACAGCTGGGTTAAAAGAACTGCAAATGCCTTTGCTGACGGGCTAGCTAAGCAAGGGGTGTATAGGGATTCATTGTTTTGGGCTTCTTTCTAATTCTGTTTTTTGCTTGTGGGGAAGTTAAGACAGTTTACCTCCCTCTGTTTGATTGTAATACCTCCTAATTAATTCCAATGAAATTCTGTTATTGATCGGAAAAAAAGGAAAATGAATCTTTATTTATAAAAGGAAAAAGGATACAATCAGTCAATCATATTTGATAAGGTATAACCAACCCATATACAACCAAACAACAACCATCCACACCAACACTAGTACACTACCCAAACAGAAATTTCCACCAACACAAGGCCCTCAAGAAAACATAAAAAGGAACTGACAAAAACCCTAACTCCAAACCCCACCAACACAGACCCTAACAGAACAAACCTACACTCCCAACCAAAGAATACAAGTCAATTCTTAAAATCTAAAGCCCCAAACTTTTCTCCAACACAACTACACCTTACCCACCATATCCTTTTTTTATAGATAACCAGAAACTTTGATTAATTAGAAATTAAATAGTATCAAGACTCTCAACCCAAGCCAAATACACAATAATCTTATGAGTACATCTTATCCCATAAAAGTTGCTCCCTAGTTGCCCCTTGCTTGGCTAAGGAGCTTGCCAGTGCATTTCTTGACTTGTTAACCCACTTAAAAGTGGCCTCAACCTCTCTTGCTATCCTTCTGATTTCCCTTATTACATGTTAACCCACCCACCATATCCTTTAACAAGATAGTCACCAGACCCCACTGACATAACTCTGAATCACCTTTAAACTTGAAAGGATTCTCACTTAAACTTTGGAGGGGAAGGAGGAAGATGAAATTGCAGACACTTTTTGTTGCTTGGTAGCTCCTTGGCCATTGAAATATCTGGGATTACTAAACAGGTATTACTCTTAACTTTTGAGATTATAATCATAAAACAAACATTACTAAACTAAATTATTCAGTTTGAGTTAAAATATTAATTTCTTTTTATTATTTTCTTATTCGTTAGGGTTCAATCAACATGTATGCTGTCTTGAACTCTTGAATACACTGATAAGCAAGGAAGAACTCA